CTGCTGCAGGTGGGGGCACAAAACACGCATGCTCCGTCACCATTAGGTACAGTTTTTTCATTTATTAAAAATTGTTGTCAATTCTTGTTTTATTGCACCAAAATTTCAGATCAAAAAAAGTTAGCCAAGACATACAGGGTGGCAATTTGAAAACTTACCCCCCATGTCTTAGTAAATAAACGAGATATTTAAAAAAATCAAAATCCATTTCTGTAATTCGGAGGGGGATTCACAATGACATCCCCCCCTCCAACCCCCTGCGCCCCAGCTACCCCAACTTTTAAATCTTAAATAGTGACCCCCCATGTGTGATACGTTGTTGGAAAGCTCTGGAAAAATACCATACCAAATAGCATTACATTTAGGTTAGTAATTATCATGCAAATCAAAAAATAAACTAATATGATACATTTTCTAAAGTTGGCTTTTATTTCAATAAATGTTCAAAATGGTTTTGCAATATTTCGACATTCTTGAATTATTCTCGGTCTTAGTTCGTCTATGTTCGCCGGTTGCGTTTTAAATATGACAGATTTCAAATGTAATTTCATTATTTAAAAACCGAAGATAACTCTCTCCCGTTAGCGAGCCCTCACAAAAAATTGGGATATATCACAATACCACACCACACATTTACTGACATATGACATAATAATAAACGTTTAATAAATCAGATAAAATAATTTTAGTTTATATTCCTACCTTGAAAATACTATAACACTTGCACTTCCCCATGCTTCTCTCAGTGCAGTGTAATAGGAAGTGGATCTAGATCTAGAAGGAAAAGCCTTATGGGGATGAATGCGGCGATATTTCAACAACGGCTAAAGCAACTTTTTGAAAGATGTACAGGGCGTTCCATTAAAGATGACAAAATTTGCATTTTTTACTAACTTTGCGATATTCATTTATTTTTTTACTTTTCATTTTCTGATTAACCCCACAACTTTTGTATTTAAAGTTTAAGATAAGATAAGATGGAATCACCCTGTACACATGTAACCCATTTTTGACTTTTTTATATTGATTGAACACGCGCTCTCCTAATTGTTTAAGAAAGGAACAAAACGGTACAATATTAGAGAACAACTGTTAATTTATGAAACATAAGTGAGTATCTTGAAAAAATATATCATGTACTTCAACACAAAATTGTTTCATGTACCTACTTCAAATAGGGGTATGAATTTTTAGAAGTCTCACACCCTTCAGCAAACGCCTTTGGCCGTAGCCGTTGTCATAGTATAACATTTTCTGCCGGCGTTCTTTGAGCTGAGAGCAAGCGCTCTAACGAAATGTTATTAGTAGTACTAACAAGAGAATAAATCTATATCTAAGCTAATTTTGTAGTTCTCTGCTTAAATGCTTTTAATTTATGGTATGCATGAGAGACTGTAGCTAGTAAGTACAATTTGGAGAAAGAGAAATCGCCACTGATTTATAAAATAGATATGAATTTGTAGCGATCTACAACGTTCGATTGAGCGTAACCGTTGTTTTCCGCTTGATCACTTATAATCTTTCAAAAATACAAATGTTCTCAACGATTAGGTAGGTAAATGATATTTAATTTAGGTTCCGTTATCGGCACAGTAAGGAGTGCTCCCTAACTCGATTGGTATCTATGTAGTTCTAAATAAACATAAATCTATTTCTTGGTTCTTTGCTTTATTCGCTTTCCATTTGTTGAAGCGCATGTGACTGTACAATTTTCGAGAAAGAGTTGTGTAAGGCAACCGTTATTATAGATTTTTGTATTTGAGTGTTCGGTCTACTCAAAGAACATTACTGCTCTTTCCTTTATCGTTCACTTAAGTTAGTATCACTGCAGCTACTTTTGTTGCGCAGTATTTTTACAGCAGCTCCTAAAGTTGCGTACTGGATTCACACAGCAGTCGAAATAGTTTATTGTTGTAGCTAATTATTGTTAAAACTTTAGGGGAAGGGAAACTACTGCCATTTACGAAACTAAGAAGATATTGAATTTTTAAAAAAGTCATTCCGGGGGCTGTTTAAAAAAATGTTCCTTCCCTCAATTATTTACATTGACCGGTTATTGTGAATAATCGCCGCATTAATCACTTGTTACCCTACGATACATACAGGGTTGCCAGATTGCGTATGGCCGTCTGCCGAACATAGGCTGCATGAGAAACATAAATCTACATTGCGAACAACCCCCCCCCCTCCTCAAATTTAAGATTTTTTTTATTTCAAATTGGTATAAGTTAACAAATAAAACAAACTATACATTCTTGCAATAGAAGTAATATAAGGGTAAATACAGTGTACTTAATTTAATAAATGAAACATAAACATCAACATCGCTGTTTACACACAAATAGTCAAAACAAGAAAGTTAAACATATTTTTCTGATTTTCTGGCAAGTGTTAGTAGTTTTTTGTTTTTTAATACAAAATCATAGAAATCCTATTTGTAATTTTGTCACATTTAAAAATTAAGGTGTTATTAGGTGCTTAAAAAGGAATCGTTTGACCTATTTGAAAAGTATTAAATTGAAATGTATTGTTCTGCCGGAGTTATAGTCGCGCCTGCCCGGGGGCCGGAGAGCACGATGTAAAACCTGAGACTCCGGCTGAATGCCTGACATCTGGCAACCCTGGATATATACTATTTGTTAGTTTATTTAATTATGTATTATTCTTAATTCTGCTGATACTACATCTGATCCTGTTGCTTTCCGTACTTTAAGGTTTTTTATAGCTCTGTCGAACTCTGACCTACGTATGTTAAACCCCTAGCTCTTCCTCTGTGATGTTTGGTTGCTTTGATTCTGCTACTCTTAATTGTCCTATACCCTATGTCGGTCCTACCTCTATGCCCGTATGTAAAATTAAGAATCATTAACCCTCTGGTATCCGCTTGCGGTCTCATGGACCGACGCGATATTAACCCGTATTATTTTAAGCAATAGAAAGTTCCTATGTGCCCCCTTTCCGTGTACCTTCCAACTTTTTGGTGCCCGATATCAGTGCGACGAAATAATACAATCCGTGCAGTAGTATAGCATTTAATCCAGTTTTCGGTCTGCGAGTCCGAAATGGTGTGCATAGTTTCTGTGTTACACAAAATAGAAAGATAAACAGGTGTTACTGGTACCGGTACATAAGAAGGCGAGAACGGATAATGCGCAGATGACTAATTTAGGGTATGTAGGAAGAGCCAATTGGCTCCGTGGGGCACTAGTACGGGCAATTAATTGAATATAGCGGCGTTTACATTGGTATAGTAAATGGGTTAGTTACTGGCACCAGTAACTTGCAAGATAGCTACTAATCCAATTTAATATAAATAAATTTACATATAAAGTTTCATTTAAATATCTTTATAAATAAAAAAGTTAGCATTGCACATGCGTTAATCCAAATTTTTGACACTGCGCATGCGCAAAGCCAAAAAATATTGGTATGCCTGGAATCCTTGGACCAAGGCCTTTCAAATGAGCCCTATATCGCCCAAATCGGTTAAGTGGTATAGAAGGAGTACGTGTGACGGACGACAGTGCAGCCAATAGCGATTTTTCACTTTGAGTAAAATATGCTAACAAATCCAACTGTTAACGCAAACTTTCTTAGTAAATATCCTCAACGTATCATAAACTGAATTTCCCAGAAAATGTATTTTAGTTAATCCTTTCCTGTCCATCAAGCTTTACCCAGATTAACCTTTCCTAAGAATTTTCTTGCATTCAACAAAGACCCTGTCTTCCTTCCCAGAATTTTTTAATTTCATTGTGAATATTACCGACTAACCCCTAACCAATTTTGTACAGTACATGTTAAGATGGCTGACGCAGTCTACGCGAAATGAAACTGTTATATATTTTTTTTTATTTTAATTAAGAGAAAATGAAACTAGGAATAGTGAACTGCTCGAGGAATTGCTAGTTCGAGGGTGAATTTACATCTCACCCGAAACACAAACCTTAATTTGCAAGTAGATCTTTCAGATTTTAGAGCAAGTGCGGAGAACACTGCTTACTCTTAAACCTGTATGGGCATTACAGCTTACCAAAAAGACTGATTTATTCAAACTTGATTAATTTCTTTTTTGAATGCGATGTGTTATTGGTAGGTAGCTTTCGTACCAGTGCTCGTGTTAATTTTTGGAGCCAGAGTCAACTTCGGTGTTTTTGTTGTTTAATTTGTGTTCCTCCTTTATCTTTCTGGAGTGAAGAACTCCGTCCTTCTCATGGTTTGTAGCTTAGTGACAACGGCGAAGAGGTGCATCCTTGTTCAAGAGACGAAACGGACCCTTCTGGTAGGATTTAATATGGAGCTCTATGTAACTTAAACCTGCTTGACGATCCAGTTGGTGAATTCGTCTTAGAAATAGTTCCAGTTTGATAGCAAGTAATGCTTGTAGGATGTATGAGCTGTTGTGTGTTGAAGATTAAAAATGTAACATTCCAATGCGGTTTAGATAACAAACGGAAAATGTTGTCCAATGTATTTAACGTAACTTTTGAATACGTTGTATACGATATGGCTAAACCTCTTTCTAGATAAAATACAAAATTCTATAACTGGTTTATAATCGATTCCAGTCTCTCAAGCTCTATACAATAAAATAATGAATTTGTTGTCGTAGTCTCAGTATCTATTTCTCATGTAGCAAATATAACACTTACTTGTAGTAGTTAGTTGAACTCTAATTTCTTACCTATCTTTTATTAGTGGGGTAACTCAGTATTTTGGAATGTCATTGGGAAGTTAAATGTGTGCCTTAGCTTTGTAATCTTACCACGCTTAAAAGCATTCAGTGGAAAACGTGTAGAGCCTTCTTCAAATGCGTATATTTCACCTTGGTGAACAATCACTCATGAGGATGCGCTCGAGAGTTAGTAAAAAGCGTAATCCTCTTGTGAGCAATTGTTCGTCAGAGTAGGCGATCTATCTTGAATCTCTATTTTTTATTCATTTAGAAATTTAGCTTCAAGAAAGCCCGAGAAAGCTGCTATAACTTATTTTTATTGCAGAAAGCCTCCAAAGGCTAGAGGTATGCCAAGTGCCCTAAGAACTTCACGGCCGCTTCGTAAACGGTATGTTTCAGAACAGCAATATGCATTTCACTTTCTGGATAAAATTGTAATGTTCTTTCTCTATCAATTCTTCTTATTTCCTCTTCGATGAAATTAATTTTATGTTTGTCGCATCTCGAAGATGTTGTTGAAGTCAGCATCTTATTTTTTGTAGATGAATTCCCAAAGAGGAAAATTTTCAAAAATCGGTGTGTTCACAACGAACAAACACTAAACATTTTTATCAAAAACTGATATGTTCGACCAACATTTTTGTGTGTTTTGGTTGCCTGGCTATGTTTCATTCATTTGAAAATCGTCTTCAGAAAGATCTGTCACCGTTCATGGTGTGCTGAATGTTTTACCCATTCATTATTTACTTTCAATACTTCTATACTCCAAGGTCGGCTTTTCCCTGCAATCCAGTATAGGCTTTTTGCCATTTTTGTTATCTAGAAGAGTTTCTGCTTGTTGGTTTGAATCGTAAAATTTCCACTGCTATGTAGAACTGGGCATCATCCGGAACAATGTTGGCAAGGTAAGCATTTAGGGTAAAATATAAATTTATTTAAAAAAATATGTTTTAGTGGCTGCTCTTTTACTTGACCCTTACATACTAATTCAAACAATAACGTTTAACTAAAATTGTTATTGCTTGAAATTTGGTTTGTTAATATTCATTTTGCGATTATAATTAAGCCGTGCATATTTTTCAGGGTCAAAGTTTATCTTGTGTATTTTTTTTATCGCACGCACAATCTAATCTATATACCTAGTACCTAAGATAATAGATGTAATTTTTGTTGCTATGGAACAATATACATATTTATCTCACTAAGGGAGCGTAACTATAATTTTACTATTATTTAACCCATTTTTAAATTTTGGAAAGTTTCTATTTATGCCCAATTCTTCCAGGCTAAAAGTTTTGAGTTTGTTTGATGATATGGATTTTTATAACTGTTTTACCGTTGTTCAATATAGTTCACTATTGTAAAGTATTACACATGGTAACAAATAGGTTTATGAGCCTGATATGTGCTGTACGGTTAAATGAAATGTTTGAATGCAATTAAATTTTTATGTACTATAAGTGTGGTAATAGTTGCAAGTTATGTAACCACTTACTGAATTCGGAGTATCCATTAAAAGCCAGTTTATTGGAAAATAAATATTCAAATAATTGAAATTGAATATAGCAATGTTTTGCATTAAGGTTTTCTATTCATTATACGTGGTGTAATAGGTAAGTACGTCATTTGCTGGTACATGAAACCAACATTTGTTCTTCTTAATACGCCAAGGATTGGAAACAGCTCTTAATAAATAAATAAACCCTATCCATAAGAGAATTAGTAATTGTTGGATAGGCCACAAAAATGACCAGAAATCCACAAAGTATGCAATTGGTCGACCACTTTAAAATAAACTTGAGTACAAGATTTGGTTGGCATTTGGCAAAACAGCGAATTGTTCTTCGTATCAACTAATCCTTATTTAAATGAAATTTCGAGTGAAATTTATTACTAATTTCTGTGTTCTTTTTGATAAGTTGACTTTTAGCCAAGGGACACATGACTTAGTGTTAGTAAGTGGTTTACTTTTCGTTTTTACCCGAGGTGGAGTTTCTGCATTCACTTTCAATTGCATTATGTATTTATGTTGAAAATTCAAGTAGTAGCCAAGGAAAATCTTCATCTATAGCGACCGTATGGAAAGTACTAACATTTATTCAGAAAACTCAGATTTATGTTCTGTGAATGAACATCAACATTGGATTTTCAAATTTCTCTTTGGCGGTACCTATAGCTTGCGCGAAATCGAAACTTTTTTGTACCCCCACTTACTGCTACTCTATTTTCGAAAAATTTTCACAAAACCTGAAAGCATATCCAGAAGTTTAGTTAGTTACAATTTCAGACCAAAAGCTAAAGAACACAAATTTACAGTTGTGACTCTCCCTTTGGTTTCTTTGGAAAAAATGCTCCACTTCGTTCATTCTACATTCAATGTAGGATACAAGTATTGTATCGCAAATCAATTTTTGCAGTTACATTTATGCAATGTAAGATGGTACAGGGTACTCAATTATACATAGGTTCATGCGGTTGCAACAGTCGATAATTCTGCTGCGTTAAATTCCAATAAAAGCGTCAAATGTTTTTGTATATGTACATTATCTTTGTATGTATTATATTAACAATTTTGTCTGGCATTTAAAACATGTAAATTACATCATTTCCCCCTTACGGTGTTTAGCAATAATTTTCATTATATTTTATATTCAGCATGACAAAAGATTCAAGTTTTTTCCTTTCATCTTGCATATCCAACGAAATTACTATGATAAATTGAAAAGCATTATTGCTTAATTTGACTCGTGTTTACATAGATATCCTACTTACGGAAAGGATGACTGGTGAGTTTGTATTACTATTGGAGTTAAAAACATTAGTAAGTTGTTTTATAGGTGTAGAAGGCATGTGAAAATAATTTTGTAATTAATGATAATTGTACATATCGTCAAATACTGGAGCTTCAAAGTATAATGCGCAAACGCAAAATAGTTCGCGCTTTATATTTTGAGTTGGTCTGGGGTTTTTTAGTAAGTTATGTGTAAAACCTACGGTTGCCTGCATGTCAAAAACGGTTGTGATTGGTCGTCGCATCTTGGAACGAATACGTAGCTGCGTGCTATTGGCATTACATTCAGTTTTCTCCTTTCGGTGGTGGACAACAGGATTAGAGGTTTTTTCAGGTCCATGTCATAACTCAGTTGCATATTTTCATCACTGCATCAAAGAGATCTAGTGGCAGTTAATGTTTTTGGGGGTTCTGAATACCATGACAAAGTCGCAGGAATGGAATGTTTATGGCTACCCTGCCACAATGCCGATGTTTAAAATTGACTTGTTATGCAATTGAGTTATTTTGTGGGCCTTTGATTGCTAATGGCTGGCCAATATTCAAATATGTAATTGCAGAAGCGCTAACCTTGGTCATTAGAAGTCGGAAAAGGTCTTTTGTCTAGTGAAGTCATGTAAGAAATTTTTATTTGGTTTTCTCCATTGCATTGAATTAGAGGAGTGAGTAAGATACCAACTTGACCAAGTTTGTACTTCCAGCAATTGCTTCGGTTGTTCTCTATTATTGTTGATATAATAAAGAGCATGTATTTTACACATATTTGACTAAATTTCATTTTCTGAAAGATCTAGTCGTCTAAATAAATTTCATATGACTCCATTTAGGACGATCAGTTACAAAACGACATTTTATTCATTCGAAATATTTATTTTATAGGACTACTGCCTACAGCAATGCCCAAACCTCTGCAACGCCGTATATGTTAATGAGCGAACCTGGACTAGCACAACAAGGGTACCGGCAACCTGCGGCAGAATTACATAAGTATCCACCTCCACCTCTTATACCTGTTCGACACATAAATGGAGAGGTAAGATACCAGTCACCTGCAAATCACTATCGGACAGCAGACGTCGTCGATCTCAGCCCCACAAATAGGTACTGCTATATATGATAACTGATCTGGTTTATATCAAAATGTATGTGTAGCACTGGTCCAGGAAGTCACGCACCTATCATCAATCAACAACCTGCACACCAACAACCTCCACGTACTCAGGCACAAGACGAACAAAATATGAGTAATGGCAGGTTAACTATGAACAGTTTGCAACGGAAGCTCACTCAAATCCCCGAAACGCCGACAAGTGGCAGCCATATACCATATAAGATGCAGAAAGCGTTGATCGAAAGTAGAATGGTTCCCTGTATTAATATGAAACCCTATGTATATAGCGATCTGTTGGTAACCATACCTGATTTAACGGAGCAGTTATTCAACAACGTACCATCGCAGTCGTGCCAGCAAGTGATGCAGGTGTTGGGGATTGAACTGTTTAAGGGAAACGAGTAAGTATATTCTTACTTCCCTTGGAATCCTTAGAATTCCTTTCATAAGTTATAACATTGTAAATACACCTTACACAATATTAAAAACAAGCAATTTCCCATATAAGACTTTGTCTGTTGGAAATATTATTATTATTAAGTAATGCTCATTTGGCGGCCAGGAGTTTAGTTCTGAGGGGCCTACCAGAAAAGTACAAAATTAGCGCTGCAATCGCTCGGTAACAATGGAAGGAAAATAATTATTTACCAAACGTAAGCTAATGAAACTGTTTGATACTGTTGCCGTAAGGTCTATGTGCATAATTTTTTGTTTAGGTTTTACAGCTTCTGAAAAATTATTTACAGTTTTAATAATAAAGCGCACATTTGTAAAAAGAAACGCCCATCAGAAAACATGCTAAACAGGCAAATAATATTGCATTACTGTCGTATTGTTTCAATAAAAGAAAATATGAGCTTTATAACACTTTTAAGATAATAAAAATAGTAAGTGTATTCATGGAATTGACAGGATTTGAGAATTATTGATATATCGGGTCATATAAGTGCCAGTACATTACGTGACATCCCTCAAAGTTGGCTCAACTTTTTAAGGAAGCATTCGAAAGACGGCTGAATTTTTAGCACTTGCCGGTTGAAATCTTCACGTATTTTTACTATTGCTACACCAGTAACCTTTCTTATATTCGTAAGGGTATGTTTTTCACACGTCAATAAGAGAAAGTTCTGATGAAGCTCTTAACAAGAATAAGAATAAACAATTTTCAATTACAAATATACCTAATTAACATTAATGTACAACTGTGTAATTAATGATCCAATAAACCTGTAGATGCTAGTTTACTTGTCTACTTCCTTGTAATGATTTTTGCGTAAATATTCTTTTGGTGTATGTGTACATGTTTTGAATGTTTATATTAACAATGACTTTAAACACAAAGAAATACCTTACAGTATTAAACAAATAAGTAATTATTATTCCATGTAGTAGACTCGTGGTCAACTTTCACTTCCCTGCAGTTATTAAATTTGATGGAAAGAGATCAATTAGGGACAATGAGTTTATTTAAAGTAAGGCTGTAGGGAATTGAATGAGAGCATAGAATATTAGTAGTTTGGCAACATTTACAAGTACAGGGACCTTCTAAAACTCGGAAGTTGTTTGAAATTGAACGCATTTACTTGTTGAGTCGAACGCCAGATGGCCAAACTCATTCAATGGTACCTACTATTAATATAATATAATAATTTGTTTATTTTAAAGTTTCCGTCATATGCGCTGCGCATACATGTATATTTTAGTTATGTTGATTAATGTTTAGTTGCATCCATGAGAATTTATGTGGTGTTTGAATAAAATCGTCTGGCCAGATCTTAGGAATCTGTATTGTGTGTGTCCCCCTGGTGTCACACCAGAGTATATAGAGGGACACCTATGCCAGATTGACACATGGCGTACCAAGCAGTGAGGTTTTAGCACATGTATTCGAGATGCGCTTTTGGTGTCAGACAGAAACAGCTCTATTCAGTAGGCATTGGTTCCTTTTAACACAATCAAGTTCGTTTAACCAACCTGTTTCTGGTAAAATACGGGAACCAAAACGTGCGCTAGAACCTCACTGTCTGGTGCGTCAGGTGACTGTCTACTCGCCACCACTAGACGGCCGTCCACATGGTTTGTTCTGTAGGCCAAAATTTCCAGAACGAAAACATTGGACCCAAAAACGTAGCTACAGTAGCTTCCCCATACACATCATTAATCCTTCGAGCTGTTTCTGCAGCCACGGTGGAACTCATATTCGCTCATAACGCAATTAAAATGAAATTTAGAAATGTTGGTTATTCGAGGTATTTTGGCTATGGTACATTAAGAAATAATAAGCTATCATATAATGTAATAATATACAGGATGTTCCATATAAAAAAGTCACATTTTTTAATTATATGAAAAATGCGATCTCTACTGAATCTAAATGTGTAATTAAAAAAATAAAAAGAGATATTATTATTACGCTTGTTATGTAAATTTTTATTTTGTTGCAGGTCTCAAATGCGTGTGCTATACGAAAATGGCAAATGTCAAAGTATAAATGATAGTATACCGTTAGTGCCAGTACGACTTGTATTGGAATTTATGCCTCAACTGAAATATATGTTGGGCGGCATAATCAGTTCGGAGGTCGCGGCAAAACGGCAACGTGCGAGCTAGGATTGGGCAAGTATGTGGGACTACAGTCTACTTAACTAATAAATTCGCGAACGCGCGAATTCATTTTACGAACCTCACGCATTCTTGTAGTCTCACGGACCGTGCTACTAGTGTCTAAATTATGTGTTACTGATTAATGGTTGAATTAAAAGTTTATCGTTCCTATGTGCCGTGCAACAGACGTTGTTTTTGTGCACACAAACATCGTTACCTTCTGGTTCAAGGGAGGCATTGATTAATAAATAAATGAAATTGTACTCATTCAAAACTGCTGTTGAGCAGTTTAGTTGTAAAGAAATTTTTTTTATAAACAAATGTAGACTTGAATTGTATATATTATTTATAGGACGTTGTGTCAGATTATTTAAAGAACGAGTTCCGAAACAGAAGCAGATATTTTCATTCCAATATTTATTGAGATGATGCTTAAATCAGTATTAATGTATGAGGACTGTTTAATACACAGCGATGCCAAACAGCCACTATAAGACAAATATGCACTCATACGCTCTTCATTTTTTTATAGCGGAAATTACCGTACTTTTATTCAGAGAGACCAAAATTGCTAGGTTTTGACGTTATTTTTACGTACTCATAAACATTTCGCATATTGACCGAGTTTATGATCCGTATTATTATGTTATTTATTTAACTTACTTGCATTGTGTCAATTTGCAATACATGACCTATAGAAAGCGGTCTATTTGTCTGTGGTAGTAGCTATCCCCAGGGACGTGAACCTACATGATAGTTTCTCATTTACCGTAAGCCACAAAGTCTGCCAAACATTGTAAATATTGTTACTTAGTTTGTGTTTTTTTTTACTGTACCTAATATAATGCATGGTTGATCGATAAGTGACTTGAACGGTCTGAACATTTATTCTGTCTTTCTGCAGCTTCTTAGGATTAGGTAGGTTTTTACATTTTTTAAAACAGGACCCGTATGTGCCCTATTATGATTTATTGATTATCAAAGCTTAAAGAAACCTAACGTCTGTCTCGGTGGAAGAAAGCCAATCAAGATATAATGTAATTACTTTTAGTATTGTGTTCGCATCACATTGTTTGTTTTGACCCGTTCGGTCCGTCCCTGGCTACCGTGTGTAAGGAAATTATACTTGCGGGCCATGTAAAACACTTAGCTTTTAAGTTGTATATACTTTTAGTTTAAATGATACTTAATCGTATAGACTCGAATACTGTAAAGTAGTCATTCGTACACCTACTTACCAGTTGTGAAGTTGTTCTTACTGTTTATACAGTATTTTTTACTGTATCTATTAGCTTTATTTATTATTTAAAGCAACTTGTGTGATAAATTCGAGAGCTAGTGCAATTTCATAAAGCTTGAAAATGTCTGTAATGTTTCCGAACGTAAACATTTTTGTACTGTATCTAAAAATATTTATTTAAAAATTACGCAAGTAAATATATCAGTGTGAATAAATTGTCCAGGGTAGGGGATATAACATAGATTTTAAAAATGATCATATTCCATTACTTGTAGAGTTTAAATCATATTTATATTATTTACGTATACTTTTTCCTCGCTAGATCTGAGCGTTATCTTTAAATAGTAAATTCGACATATGTTAGTTTCTCCTGCCTGTGATGTAAAAATTGATTTACGATTCAGTATTTCGGTAAATCATCTAGTGAAATTCATTCTGCTCTCCAATTATTTTTATAACAAATATTCTAATCGTTTTCCTTTAATAAGTTTAAATTATGTTTTTTTCTGTTATGAATCGTTTTATCATTCATTGTAAATATAGGATCCTGATTCTAAATTTACGGTTTCGTTTGTCATCAAGCCATGCAATCTGGTATAATTATGTTTTATAATTTGAATCTTAATATGGAACATGACACGTTCTCATCCGTTTTGACGAAATTTTTATTCCGCTTCTATGAAAATGAAAATGTAATTATCATTATTGCATCGCTCTACAGTTTACTTTCAATCATAATCTGTATGTCTATTGAATTTAGGAAAATAAAGAAAAAATAAACTACTTTTGTAACTATTTACCTTCTCTCGCAAATCCCAATATTTGTAATACTTGTAAAAACTTTATTGTGAATATCTCGAAAATGTTGGAGGAAGAGCTTGATTCTTCTTGCATCATTATAGCATAGATTTTGAATGTATAAGAGGCGGCATTTAAATGTTTATGTGGAAAGAGCCCCCATTAATCTGCCAATAAAGTCAACATCAATAAATCATAAAACTTATAACCCAACCACAGGTTTAAAAAAAAATGCTTTGAACTGGGTGGAATATTAGTAGATTAATATCTTATTTTTTCTATTGCCGCTTCTTTCAATTAATCCTGTTTAGTATATTTTCTGATACATATTTATTTCTCAGTAATAATGACACATGCAGTGTACAATTTGATGTTTTCATTGGATAATAAGTATCTAGTTTATATGACCTATCCTTACCTAGTGTATTTTACTACTCTTCTTTCTATTTTAAATCTGGTGGTTTCCATTTGTTTGTGTTTTGTTTTATTACCTTGAGTTTATTCCTAGCTGCTTTCTGTGAGTTGCCCTGCGCAGGGCAGGCCACCGTACACTCGAGGAGGCAAGCCCAATGTACAGTCAAAAGCCTTTCTATATACCCATGGCCATGCAGTGGCCTTTTTGCTGGAATTTTCGGATTAATGGAGAAGCTATGGGTACCTGTTTAAGAGCCTTCTGAATAAGCTTTTTCACTGTGTTTTTAAACTTTCTAGTTATGACGATCGCGAGATCGTCCGCGTATCCCTGTGTATACGCTCCGTCTTCGTTTAGAGAGGTACACAACTCTTCCCTTTTTCCAGCTTTCGGGGACATACCGCTCCAACAGTTTCGTCACGTATAGCAGTCCCAGTCAGCAGGGGCATCTATGGCAAACACCAATATTGCGCCCCTCTCCGACCGTCCATTGATAGGTGGTCGGGACTAACTCATAAGTAATAATGTCCTACTCTCAGAATGCCAGGTTTAGTTGGAAAAAAATGTGCCTGTGGCCCGAAAGCCACGGTTCATCAGACATGCTCCAAATTGTGATCATGTGGGCTATTGAAAAGGAGCCCAACGTAAGATCGTTAATCTCCTGCCTCTGCGCTGTGACGAAGGTGGGGGCTGCTCCCTGATTTAAAACATTCAAATCAGTTGTTTTCAAGTACCTACCGTAGGAGGTGGTCGCCCCTCGAGTTCGTGTTCGTCTGCCCAGTGGCCTGGATTTGGCTATTCGGCATCGATCAGCAATTCGCTACATTGATGTCCAAAATAACAAATAGGTACTTAGTACTGCTACTGAGGTGAGGTACCTGCGTCCTGCCTTTCACGAAATGACGAAAATAAGAATTTTAAATTTTGAAAACAGGAATTTTTTTTGCCCATAACTTTTGATGGAGACGTCTAATCGAAAAAGTACGAATCGTTTTCGATTCTACGCACCCAAATTAATAAGAAAAGGTTTTTTCCAGAGAAATTTTGGTGCAGTCGATTTTTGGTAAAAAAGGAAGGTAATAACTGCCTTTTTTTGCCCAGAAAAAAAAATTGTCTCAGATCGACCGGAAAATATTTTCTTATAGAATGTGGCCTGTAGAATCCATAATTTCAAACAGTTCCAAGATCGGACTACTAGATCAAAAGTTACAGCCCTTTGAATTTTTTGTCGAAATTGATTTTTTGCCCATAACTTTTGATTGAGACGTCTAATCGAAAAAGAACGAATCGTTTTGGATTCGAAAAAGTACGAATCTACGCACCCAAATTAATAAGAAAAAGTTTTTTCCCGAGAAATTTTGGTGCAGTCGATTTTTGGTAAAAAAGGAAGGTAATAAACTGCTTTTTTTTGCCCAGAAAAAAAAATTGTCTCAGATCGACCGGAAAAAAATATTTTCTTATAGAATGTGGCCTGTAGAATCCATAATTCCAAACAGTTCCAAGATCGGACTACTAGATCAAAAGTTACAGCCCTTTGAATTTTTTGTCGAAATTGATTTTTTGCCCATAACTTTTGATTGAGACGTCTAATTCGAAAAAGTACGAATCGTTTTGGATTCTACGCACCCAATTAATAAGAAAAAGTTTTTTTCCCGAGAATATTGGTGGAGTCGATTTTTGGTAAAAAGGAAGGTTTATACACTGCCTTTTTTTGAGGCCCTCAAAAAAAATTGTCTCATATCGACCCGGAAAAAAAATTTTCTTATAGAATGTGGCCTGTAGAATCCATAATTCCAAACAGTTCCAAGATCGGACTACTAGATCAAAAGTTACAGCCCTTTGAATTTTTTGTCGAAATTGATTTTTTGCCCATAACTTTTGATTGAGACGTCTAATCGAAAAAGTACGAATCGTTTTGGATTCTACGCACCCAAATTAATAAGAAAAAGTTTTTTCCCGAGAAATTTTGGTGCAGTCGATTTTTCGTAAAAAAGGAAGGTAATAACTGCCTTTTTTTTGCCCAGAAAAAAAATTGTCTCAGATCGACCGGAAAAAAATATTTTCTTATAGAATGTGGCCTGTAGAATCCATAATTTCAAACAGTTCCAAGATCGCACTACTAGATCAAAAGTTACACCCCTTTGAATTTTTTGTCGAAATTGGTTTTTTGCCCATAAATATACCTATTGACTAATTAAAGCAAAAGCAATAAAAGGACCTGTCAGCAGTAAGAAGTAAAATACCGTTCTAATCTAATCTTTTTCGCCTGTGCAACCCAATTTCTATTTCCCCCCCCCCCCCCCCCCCCCCCCCCCCCATCCCCTCCCTTCTAGTACGCATTGGGTGACTGTATGTGCCACGAACTTGTTTAAATCCCCCCCCCCCCCCCAGAATAAATTTCTACGTACGCCACTGCGTCACACAACATAGTGTGCCTTTTTATCACAGCCAACCACAAAAGGGATCCCACCATTTCGACAGTACTCTATCAACTCAGGCAGCTGCTTGGTAGGTGGAGCCTCTTCTGAGTCTTACGGGAGGCTGAGCAGCCCACCAAGCCGTCCCCTCTTTAGATGAATCTGCCACGTTACCGTACCCCTTTTGAGGATACTCGGTTTCTTTGTTTTGAAATCGTCCATTCAATTCCAATGAGTAGTGTAGTGCGCAAATGCGGTCTCACCTGGGCAGAGCCGTTTGCCCAGGGCTTGACTGGTAGCCCCTTCCCGAAGGAAAGGAGCCATACCACTCGCCGGCCGTCCTCTATCCGAGGGGCTCCTTTATCTTGAGAGGTTGGTCCACGGCGACGATCTTCGTCACTACCAACCTGGGTTTCTGCCCCGACGATCCACTTATAATCATCACTACGCACACCGAAATACGAGTCAAGATCATTCAGGTGTCCGTGTGGGCGTTCCGATGGGTGCCTCCACTGCATGGGCTTGCCGTCCCCTTAATTCCTTTTCAATGGCAGGAACAGGAACCAGGGTTCATGACATTCCCTTTTCCTGCATATCCTTCTTGGCAGTTTGTCTACTGCCCTAGCCAGAGTCGTTAACATGCGCCGCAGTCTGGTCATCCGCCACAGGCGACTTGATTTTGAAAAAAAAGTCACTATATAGTGCCTAGTCCAACAAGGAAAGAAAATTAATGTCTATTTGTGCAAATAATTAGATAAATGTATGATGTGTTGCCTACCGGAAGTCGCAAGGCCTGTGAAGGTTGGCAGCGTAGTTGGCACTTCGTGTTTCAAAAGAGCGGTAAAGCTCGTTGAGTCTTCCTTTGTAATTGTAAATGCAAGTGCTTCGCAATTTCTTTGTAAATAATAAATCGTTAACGCTTGTTACAAAAAAGTTAATTATCAGCCTAGAACAGCGTAGAATCAGTGCGATGCCACCGAAAAAAAGAAAAGCAGCCAGCGACGAGGTATAATAAATGAAGGCGTTTCTAACCTAAATTTCAAAAACATTCTAGGAAGGAGGCAGTGAAAAGGCGAAGTCGCAGAAAACCAAAAAGGAAAAGCCAGCCGCAAAAAAAAAGGAAAAAACATGTCCCACAGACTACGAGGCAATCGATTATTCGTGCACTACAAAGAATAAGCATGGCGAAACGTTTAATGTTCGCATCTCTAATTGGAATGTGGATGGTTTACGTGCCTGGGTGCAAAAGGACGGTCTTTCTTTCCTCGAGTATGAAAAGCCTGACATCTTGTGTCTGCAAGAAACGAAATGTAGTGAAGATAAGTTGCCAGATGATATAAAGGAATTGCAAGATTACAAAATGTTTTGGCATAACAGCAACAAGGAGGGTTATGCGGGGGTTGCTTTATTCTCCCTTGTTGAGCCCCTATCCATAAAATATGGAATTGGAAATGATGAGCATGATACTGAAGGACGTTGTATAACTGCGGAATATGAAAAGTACTATGTTGTTAGCGTATACGTTCCGAATGCTGGTAATATACTATGATAAAACTACGGACATTCTAACAATATTTATTTGCAGGAAGACGTCTGGTTACTTTGCCAAAACGTCTTGAATGGAATAAAATATTTAAGAAATTTATTAAAGAGCTAGACAAGCAAAAACCAGTGATCATCTGCGGAGATATGAATGTAGCTCATAGTGAAATCGACTTGGCTAATCCCAAAACAAATACAAAAAATGCGGGCTTTACCAAGGAAGAACGCGAAGGAATGACTGATTTTTTGTCCGATGGGTATGTTGACACGTTCCGTAAACTGTATCCCGATCAAACTGGCGCGTACACTTTTTGGACGTACATGAGAAATGCACGTTCTAACAATGTTGGATGGTAAGAAAAAATAAAAATTATAGTAGTTGCACTTGCTAATGGTTCGGTTTTCAGGCGACTAGATTATTTTATTGTATCAGACAGGCTTGTTGATAATGTCTGTGATAACAAGATTAGAAGTGGAGTGTTTGGGTCTGACCATTGTCCCATAACTTTGTTTATGAATATTTAACTGCTGTTTGTCTATTATGTATCTCTCATGTTAACTCAGTATGTGTAATCTATTTTTGTCAGTATTAAACATGAAATGCTAAAATCGGTTTCTGTTATAAGTGGATAGATACACCTAAGGTGCTATTTACTGTGTGAAAGGTGAAGTGTTTTGTTTGTGATGTTTCTAATTCCAAAAGTTAAATGTGTCTTGAAAAGATGGAATTATTCAAATAGTGTCTACCTATTTGGATTGAATTATTTGTTTATAGGCTTATACCTTGATAAAATAAGATTCTCTGTGACTTTCCTGCAATGAGCAGAGGATGGTTCAATGAAATACAAAAAACTTGTCTCCACAACACTGCATCTATCGCACTAGTAATAATATAATTTCCTATTACTTATTTATATGAATTTAAATTTAACGAAATGCCGTAGGGTGTAGTATCACTTTGTTAGATGATTTACATATTTGTTTATCCCCTGTATAATTATATCATTCTAAGGTAATAATAGAAAGACATGGCGAATAGAATCGTTTATTACACAGCTGGTTCAAACGGCTGTAAAGGATATGGAAACAATAGACAGGGCTGCAGAAAATGTGAGCCTAGGACAAAAAGCAACTGTGCTCCAAGCCGAGGTATCAATCTTGATGGCAGCTACAAAAAAGATGGCAAATACTATATTTTGCTTCTAAAACCGAGAAACGAATATTTCTGAAAGGCAGAGCTGGCACCAGAAGTGAGAAATATTACTCTAATTTGGTTACATTGGACAAATTACAAAAAGTATAATGAAAACTATATAGTGTTGCTTCTCAAATTAGTAGAAAATCGACTTGTTTTAGACTGATAGAACATTAATGAACATTTCCGAAAGATTGTAGCCTAAAGGGTTGGTAAAAGTGGGAAAAATTACTCTAATACTTTGATTATATTAGGTCATTAGGACGTACAGTCCGTACAGAGGATAAACTAGCAAAAAATGTAGCAAAGGTCAATTTAAAAGTCATAAGAAATTGACATGTCTCGTCTTGACGCCTCTAAAGTGTTTAAAAACTTTAAGGCGAGTAAAGCGCTAAACGTTTTAGACAAATGAATATATTTAGAGAAGATTCTCGATTTATGTACTTTCTTATTAACATGCAATGTTTAGCCATTCCCTTTTCTAAACGGGCTGCTTTATCAAAATTCATTGTTTCTTTTTAGCAATTTTAGGACGCCACTGGTAGCGATTTATGAACGCCTTGCAGGATACGCCACTGCACTATATTAACTGCGCCATCTACCCTACCGGTAGCTACTAGCTAGCTACAAGCAGAAGGCATGACGAGGTAGGTGGTTATGTTCACGTTAACGGCTTTTAGAAAATATCGAAATTGTATTGTAAGTTCTTTATTTTTAAACATTAGGTACTTACGTAGTAATTAATAACAAATACGGGATGAATAAGTCTATTTAGTTTTTGTTAACGTCACCCTGAATTTTCGTTTTTTGTCAGTTGGCGCGTAAACTTAAGCTGTTGGTTTTTCAGGTGCAGTGTTTGCAAGTGTCGCTTCTCAGATCTCATTTAAGTATTAATAAAAAGATGCCGTTTTTTCGCTATCCTGATGTGCGAAGAGATAACCGGGTCATAGATGTATATCATGGGATACCGGTTCGTGTTTGCTTTCTTGTGTAATATTTTTATTAAAGTCAAGGTTTGTAGGTAGCCGACCCATACCGTTGGCTTGAAAATCCCGACTCCGAAGAAACTAGAGAATTTATAGAGAAACAGAATGCGATGACCACTCCATATATTGACAGTTGCGAGTTTAAGCAGTCGATCATAGAATGTTTGACAAGTGTGTGGAATTATCCGAAAGTGTCGTCGCCTCAACTACATGGTACAAAGTACTATCAGTTGAAGAACAGCGGTAAGCACACATCTTTTTAGTGTTACGATATAAAAATTGATAATTTTAGGTTTGCAAAACCAGAGCGTTATGTACAAGTTTGAGCAGCTAAATGGTCGAGGCCAAATATTCCTAGATCCCAACACATTCTCCGAAGACGGGACGGTGGCAATGGTTGCCTATATGTTTTCGTTAGATGGAAAAACCTTGGCATATGGTGTTAGTACTAGCGGTTCGGAATAATGTTTATTGACCGACAGATATAAATACATCCAATTACAGGTCAATTACTATTAAAGCTAAACGTAAGGCGCATTATAGGTATATAAGAAAAAGAAAAAAAAGATTATAGTAAGTAGAATTTATAGAAAAATGATTAAAAAGAAAATTTTAAGTATATAAATTAAGAAATTACAAATCAAGTACTTTATTCGTGCCTAAGAGTTAATAAGATACTATCTAGATGTGAGAAGTGGATGTCGCACATATTTGATATTCTATTGAAATTTGCACACATAAAATGAATAGGAGAAGCAGCCAATATGTTTGTGTTCGGTTTAGAGCAATAAAATTTGGTAGACGACCGTGAAGCATAAAATGGTACATATAAATTTATTAATTTTAGTATCTCGCCAACTGCATGCTATGTATTAACTGCAGCTGACTACTTCTTATCACTTGATATGCACTCTTGTTTTGCATGGGAGTAAAATCATCTCATACAGTACGCGGGATGCTTTGAGTAATACCAGGTGAACTCTGCATTTTTAAAGCACATTTAAAAACTTGCAGGATCACACGATCATTGTTGATAGTTCCGGTATATACACATGAATCTGCTGGACCTGCACCAAAACCATACTGAATAAAAAAATGTATGGAATGGCTTGCTTAAAGGTCATATAAAGACTTCCTTAATCTGAGGCACTTCAACCCCACTTGGCAATGAAATTTTAATAGGTTAAGCTAATATATATCTTGTTGGAGCAATCCCATAAGGGGAACCAACCTTTTGTTAGCAACATTACATTGCTTTCAATATTATAGAGTGGTGCAGCTAGCTTGTAGACTTGGAAGCCTTGCAGTCTAATTACAGATTGATTGGGTCAACTGGGTGAAAAGCGGCCACTTCTCAAATTTTATAGGCCGTGTAACCCCAATAACTAATGACTCACATCAATAGGTTTATTTCTAAATTCTGTACAGTGTGTATTCAATAATAATACAAGAATTGTCATATTTGCAAATGCAGTCAACATTGTGTGGAATTACTGAATTGTGGTTAATTAAAATAAACAAACAAAAAAGAAGTTTACAATAAAAATAAATTTGGTGATGATTTTGAATTCACAGACCATGTGAAAAATGCGCTTCAGCCACTCGCGTGAGTGACTGCCTCGCCTTATTATTTGATAAAATTGCACAAAAGAATAATTCCCTGATGATTCACGAATGTCAAATGCTTTTAGGCATATCTAGACCAAACAGGAAAGACTGACGGTTCCGAAACCGAAACAAGTACAAACCAAAAGCTTTATTGTCATAAATTAGGAACTCCGCAATCGGAAGATGTCGTTATTGTAGAATTCGATGATCCGGAGATACGATGGTTTGAATATTTTGAACGTATCGCGGTTTGTTCTCATTTTTGTCTGTTGCAGTCAAACAACCATTAGCGACTGCAGAGAGTATCTGGTGCTAACCCCCGTCAAAGGTTGTAAAAATAACTTGTTAAGTTTTTGCCATTTAAAGGATGTAACTACTATTACGGGAAAATTACCCGTTACACCTATTGTAACAGAGTTTAAAAGCGATTTTGAGGTGAGTGTAATTGTTTTTTCTCGTTTTCATTTATTCCTTGGGATTTTAGTTTGTCGCAAATAACGGAAGTAAATTTATTTTTTTGACTAACCACAATGCGCCCAATTACCAACTAATTGAGATTGACTTCAATAATTATGCGGAAGAAAACTGGAAAGTGGTGATACCAGAACATTCTAGGGACGTTTTAGATTGGGCAAAGCCTATTAACGGTTATTTTATAGTAACTTGTTATATACGGGACGTCAAGGTACTTTAAATAGTTTGATATTCAAAAGGCTAAACATTTGTTTAAGGATACTCTTTCATTGTACTCAATGGATAATTACCAAAAAGTACTCGAGTTTCCACTTCCTCATGGAAGTGTGAGTGGATTTTCCGGCAAACGTGATGACAGCAGGATGTTTTTCGGATTCACGTCATTCCTCATACCATATGACATCTATACAGTTGATTTTACTGAAGAGCCACTAAATTTAGTTGTAAGTATAATTGCATTTTTAATTCATGTAGATCGGTATAATGTTTAATTATAGAAATGGCATCAAACTGTATTGCCCAACTTTAACCCAGATAATTATATCTGTAAACAGGTATTTTACTCTGCTATAGATGGAACACAAATCCCCATGTCTATCGTGCACAAAAAGGTAGGTGGCGTCGTACCTTGCGATTTCTAATCAAAAGCTTTGATAGAATTTAGTGATGGAGGGAGAGAACCCGTGCCTTTTGTATGGTTATGGAGGGTTTAACGTTACCATTGGCCCAAGCTTTTCTGTGTCCAGACTGGTTTTCATGGATAAATTCAATGGGATTTTCGCTGTTGCCAACATTCGTGGAGGCGGGTAAGGATTCTGAATCTTAATGGCATACAGATTTAAATCAGTTCATTTGTATTGTATACTGAGTTCTTTAAAAGGTAATTGATTTGCTTTGTGTTGCTGTTGTGGTCTGTTCTGTAATGGCTTAATAGCATTACCGAGAGCATTACCTACAACTTTAGGGTCCTGAATATTTTGTCTCAATACCTGATTTAGAGAGAAGAGAAAAATGAACCAATGTTTTTGTATTTACAGGACATGTGTAGACCACACAGCTTTTTAGTTCATTAATTCCCAGAGTATGGTCATCAGAATTGAGTTCTAATGTGTTTGTGTGTGTGGTAATTATCCTTTGCAGTGGCAATTTACTGAACTCGTGATGTCCACAATTCCCCTATGATAAATTTAGGCTAGCACCACAGCGTTTCTCGATTTAAATTGTAATTTTGCGGCGTCTTAACCAAATAAACAATGTAGCGAATGAAAACTTTATAACAGTTAATTGCTAACAAGAAATAAACATGACATTGAATGTACAAGGTACTGACTGTTCAGCAGTTAGAAACTGACTCTTTTTCTTGGCATTTTAGGGTAGATGGAAGTAAAACAAAAACACTAATAAATCACAATAATATATTATAACCTTGAACGCGAATCAGTTCGCAGTTGCGTTTTTAAATCTGCACACAAATAAATACATGAAAACATATATTCTTTTATCTCTTATGGTGCTGAGATAGCGAGGGGCAAACAACTTCCAAAAAAGTGTACACCATATTTAAAATATTTGATATTTAACGGTATTTGTAAGTAATTAACGTGTATTTGTAGGACTTAAAATATTTGAAAAGTAATCAAGCATTTAATAAGTAATCAGAACATTTTCAATAGAATCAAAATATTTAATAAATAATCATAGATAATTCAAATACTCGAAAGTAGTAATTTAAGTAATTGAGATGTACTTGAATATATTTGAAGTACCTAATTAAGAAGTATTTGGAGACTCTATATATTTGATAAACGTCACTTTTTGAATTATTCCTTTTCGCTATCCACTTCTCGTTTCACTGGAAAGGATGCCAACTTTCAATTCAAGTCGAGGACTATTATACCATATTGTACCTACTATAATTGGTTAGGCATATCCATTGTAAACGAGTTCAAAGTATCACTTTGAACTGTCACACTCAGTGGGCCCTTTGGAAACTACTAATAGCATTAGTATCTTCCTACTAAAAAAATCCTAAGTAAGTCGAGTACTGTATGGTGGTTTCTACGCACCAAAATTAATAAGAAAAAGTGTTTTCCTGAGAAATTTTGGTGCAGTCGATTTTTGGTAAAAAAGGAAGGTTATACACTGCCTTTTTTTGAGCCCCGAAAAAAAATTGTCTCAGATCGACCCGGAAAAAAAAATTCTTATAGAACGTGGCCTGTAGAATCCATAATTTCAAACAGTTCCAAGATTGGGCTACTAGTTCAAAAGTTACAGCCCTTTGAATTTTCTTTCGAAATTGGTTCTAGTCTATAACTTTTGATTGAGAAGTCTGATCGAAAAAGTACGAATTGTTTTGGATTCTACGCACCAAAATTAATAAGAAAAAGTGTTTTCCCGAGAAATTTTGGTGCAGTCGATTTTTGGTAAAAAAAGGAAGGTTTATACACTGCCTTTTTTTGAGCCCCGAAAAAAAAATTGTCTCAGATCGACCCGGACTGACGAACTGCAGTCACTGATCGGCCGGGCGGGGATGTATTTTTTTAAACGGTAGACGCGTCCGCCTGCATGCGAAAATTGACCCTTCCCCACTTTTTTCAATTTTTTTGGAAAAGCAAAGTTGTACAAAAATGCTGCGGATTTTTCCGAAGGGAAAACGCGTTTGCTATTTATGAATGGGCGGTACAGGCTGACTGGCGTCGAGGTGTGACCTTGGGAGCATAATTTTTTTACATCCAATTGTTTAATCTTTCTGTAGCAATCCTTTTGTTTTTTTGCGACGCTGTCACACTTTCGCTCGTTGTTCTGCATGGGAGGGATAGTGGAAGTAAAAGAAACAAATTTCAGCTGAGATTAAGCGAAAGGATTTTACCAGAGCCTACTACTGATTTTACCCATACCTTATGTATTAAGAGTAACATGATTCAGAAAAAAATTGCCGTGGCTGGCACAGATACCATCCGTACACCTGCGCGTTCTATCCAAAGATTTTTAAGCTCTTCCTTTTTTGTCTAAAAATTTGTGTACCAAATTTGGTTCTAATCGGTTCAGCCGTAAATGAGAGTACAAACGGACCGACACTCTTAAATACTGTATTGTAAACGACTAAGGAGTTCACAATAAGTAACTTAAAACAACTGCTAATAAGGGAGATATTTCCCTGCGAAACTGATGCGCACGCGGTTTTTGACCTTGTTCACTAAGTATTTCAGTACGCAAGCCAACATGACGGGTCAACAACTTGACCTTACCATTATCAAACATGTAATCAAAATACTCAACAAGTAATGAAAGTAGGTATTTGAAATTGTAATTGAAAGATTGAAAAAGGAATTAAAATATTGAAAAGATAATTAAAATATTCACAATGTAATCAAAATACTGGAAATGTATTTGAAGGTAATGAAAAGACTCAAAACATACTCAAAACGTAATTAAAGTATTGAAAAGGTAATCAAGTAATTAAAAATTCCAGATGTACACCATATTTAAGGAGTTATTTGCCCCTCGTGAGATAGGGGCCGAAGAAGTAGTATTGGGTACAATTTCAGAATTTATTTGGAAAAATGTGCGCTTCTACTCCTTCTACAACTAATTTTCCTGTTCTATCACTCCCTCTTTTAATAAAGTTATGCAAAAAAATCTGATACAACTGAATACTGAACGATCCTCAAGATATTCACTCTTACATAATTTTAACAACGCATCTTAAGGAGTTGATTCTCTCCCACCAGATCAGCATGCGCAAAACAAATTTTTTAATTCGGAATTATATATATGGTATAGCTCTACAGTGGGCTTGTTGGGTTATTTTCCTCCACCTCCTCCTTTCGATGGCTGCTTCTTCCTAATGGTGGGTACCGATTTCTTTTAAGTCTATCCACTTTCTTTTCGACCTCCCTCTTGTCGTCTTTCTTTTCACTCCCTGCTGCATGACTTGTCTTGTTGCCAATTTTCTCTCCTAGGGTCCTTATATGGCCCAGCCAGTGTATCCTTTTATGAAGTTATAAAGTATGATCTTGGCATTTTGCGATACACTATTTGAGATCAAAATTCGCAATAGGGATCCCGCACCCTTGTACTATTCTTTTATTTATTTCGTTTTCGTCGTGCCCCCATGTTGGATAACATCGCTCCTAAATAGCTAAAGTCCTCCGCTCCTTCTATTTCATTCAGATTTTCGTCCTCCGATCTGAATATCAAATTTCTACGCTCTTCTGTTCTCTTTCCCTCTTACACTTCCAATATCCTTTGTCTTCTCCATGTTGATTCTTAAACCACGCCATATCTTTCTGTAGTTCGTTCCTGGTTAGGTCATGGTGAATGAAATATTGGGTTTCTCTCAGCTGCTTTTTTGTTTTCAGTATCTTTTTCCATCCAGTTCTCTAGTTGCACAACTGCCGCGGGTTTTATTTTCTGCAGAGTGCAGTGCACACCCTTAACCTCTGCCCATACCTTTAGGATCTCTGAAATAAATTATTTCATCCTTCTCTTTCAGATCATATCTTAATTATTATATTGATTTTCTTCTTCTCCTGGTAGTCTTTTTGGTCTATCCCTATGGCCTTCACCCCCAACTCCCTAATCATTCCCGTTCTTTGTTATTATCTTGTGCTTTTTTTGGAGAGAGAGAAAGAGTTATTAAATCAGACTGTTTTTGTAGATATTTATTTTAGTGTTGATGTGATGATTGTCCATTTCAGTGAATATGGAGAAAAATGGCATAACGCGGGCCGCTTTAAGAATAAGCAACTCGTGTTTGATGATTTTCAACGAGCGGCATGGTACCTGATAGACAAGGACTACACTTGCTCCGAGAAATTAACTATTCAGGGGGCATCAAATGGTGGTTTGCTGGTAGCTGCCTGCATCAATCAGCAACCTTATTTGTACGGATGTGCTTTATGTTTAGTGGGGTAAGGGTAATGAGCAATTTTATTATCCTTTGTGAAGTGTTAGTATTATTGGGTGTTAATCTTATCGTTTAGGGTGTTAGACATGTTGCGCTACCATAAATTTACCATTGGATACGCATGGAAGTCAGACTATGGATGTTCCGATGACGCTGGCCAATTTGATTATTTGTTTAAATACTCCCCACTACACAATATTAAGCGACCGACAGAGAAAGGAATAGTGGAATATCCTGCCACCTTGCTGCTAACTGGTGACCATGACGATAGAGTAGTCCCCTTGCATTCATATAAGTTTATTGCGGAACTACAATATAAGGTTGGCCAATCATATGATCAGACGAAACCGTTACTCATACGTATTGATACGAACTCTGGGCATGGTGCTGGAAAACCAACATCTAAGCTGGTAAGTACTTTTTATTAAATGCGCAATTGGTAATTTATTTATATATTTTTTTAAGATCGAGGAGCAGGCAGAGATGTTGTGTTTCATGCAAAAATCTTTAAATTTACAGTATTTCGATTAAAATTTTGTAAAATTTGTGTTTATACGTTGATTGTTTAAATGTGTTAATATTTCTACCAAATTGTAATACAATGCGCCTATGTTAATGTGAAAATCAAAGTTAAATTTCTTAATAAATTTTCTACACCATTTGTTCATAAGCATAACGTAATTAAATTTTATTCCCATATTTACTATTCAGCTGTGCAAAGTGCTACTGTTGAAGTGCGTTATGATTTTTGGTCGAGAAGATGGATTTTTTGACATCCTTCTCTGTATGAACTTGCTGTGTTTTAAGATGTTATATAGTACGCACTTTGATATATTGTTTTGCGAATTTTTGGTTGCTGTAAATGCTAATTACTTACTTGCCTCATGGGATTAGTCCGAACATTTTTTTAAAAATTGCCTTTATGCCAAATTTTTATTTTGTTACCCTCTACATAACCGTTTATTTCATCTAAAACTAAAAACTGTCCCTATTTTATATTTTAGAATCCATTGTCCAGGAAATATCTTCATAAACAAGGAAGTTGACTACGCATGCGCACATATTATCTTTACAATATGAGATATGTTTGTCTTTAACAGAAGCATTTGTGATTAAAATTTTAAAAAGATATCTCGATAAATAAGAAATGTCTATAAATAAGAAAGTTGATATTGCGCTAATTAATCGTCAAGATCAGGTGCCGGAGTTATAAGCTATCGAATTAAAAAAGAACGAACTAAATATATTGAAAACTGGACCTCAGAGAGACAGACGGACAGAGAAAGTGGCTGCCCACCCAACAACTTCGTGCGCGCTAAAAATAACTCGAACACCCAGAAAACACCCACCAATTTGACTTTAGGGAAGGCCATTCAACAGTTCAACAGACACATAGCCATGAAATAAATAAAGCGATAGAAGCGAAGAAGTACTGCACAACCGCCTTTCTAGATCCCAAGCTTTCAATAAAGTCTGACATTCAGGATTTCTCTTAAAAATCTTCCTATAACATACCTGAGACTACTAAAGTCAGATCAACAGAGGATTTAGAGTCAGATTTAATAATTTAAACAGTATTCCGCAGGGCAGCGTGCTGGGCTCACTACTATATGTCCTCTAGACTAGGGCTGGGCGATTACGGGTTTGAATAATCGATAATCGATTATGAAAAATAATCGATTACACTGATTAATCGATTAATCAAATAATCGTTTAATCAAATAATCGATTAGTCAAATAATCGATTAATCAAATCATCGATTAATCAAATAATCGATTAATCACCTAATCGTTTAATCCAAAGTCGATTGTCACATACAAGGAGTGATAAATATCTGTTTGTATGCATTAATACGTTAATTATTTAATAATAAAAATAAAAAATAATTCCATTACTCTTTTCATCAAATCGTTCATTACTAGGCAGATCGATTAATCAATAATCAACAAAGTGTCCCTGGTTCGAATCCGGGTTCGGGGCATGGATATTTGCAAATGCATAGTGGGTTGGTTGGTAGAACAGCCTTGGCTGAAACCCTGCCCATTTGAAAATGAAGGTCAAAAATAAAAATAAATGATTAGGCAGCTTACTCTCCGATGAGGTGTGCTTTAGTTTTGATGATACAATCTTAATTCATTTTAGCTGCTTAAAGTGACGTTTTAACATCCGCTATAAAATAAAATAATACTTGTGAGCTGTGAGTGCTCCTTTTTGCGTAAACTGATGATCCAGCTAATAATAATTAATTAAAATTTACTTAATAATTGATTAATCAAATAACCGATTAATCAAATAATCGATTAATCAAATAATCGATTAATCAAACAACCGATTCATCAAATAACCGATTAATCAAATAATCGATTAATCAAATAACCGATTAATCAAATAATCGATTCATTTAATAGAATAATCAAACCCGATTATCGATTGATTATAATCGATTAATCGATTTTTTTGCCCAACGCTACTCTAGACAACAGATATGCTGAAAAAAGAATTCACTGTGATAGGTACGTTTGCTGACGACACAGTGATCATGACAGTACATAGCAAACAAACATCATGAACCGTCCTTCAAAAGCACCTTAATCAAATTAAAGTCTGGACAATGAAATGGAAAATCAAAATTAGTGAAACAAAGTCGATCTGTACAAGTAAACTTCACCCTATGTAAGTGGCAGTGTCCAAATCAACAGCTTTTAATAGGCTGGATGACAGAAATGACTTGCAAAGTACATGTAAGCAAAAAACGAAAACAGAAGATCTAAGAGTCAAAGAAAATCTATAAGTTATCATTGGAAAATATACAAATCTATCATAAATCAATTTGGGCTGAATTACGATAGGAGTGTCCTTCCAGACGAGAGTTGCTCAACGTCATTCAAGCTATCCCATACGTGAGATGAACCCAAGAATGCTGTAGGAGGGTCCAGAGCCAGGATACCCCCAGCATGGATCGTCTCTGGTGGATGAGAGTGGGACATTCACAGAGTATGTGGTGTCTATATCATACAAAAAAGCATTAACCTTCACAATTAACTGACTAACCACACCAATAATCTGCTTCACATAGTTCATCCTCAGAAAGAAGATGTGATCAGCTGACCTTAACAGGGACTAGGCGTACCTTTTCAGTGGAGAAATTTCCATCATGTCATATAGAGTTGTATTAACCCATAAGTTTTCAAATTAGCCCATAGAATGTTATTCTGATTGCTAATTAAATAAATTGTTTAAAAAAAGGTTGTTTTTTTCTGTAATTTTAGTTTGAGGTAAACTAGCTTAAGTATCTCAAACAGGTACCTAAAGAAGATTTTCATTATAGAAATTGCGAACCCTTTCTGAATTTTATCAAAAAAGTGTTTTATTATGCCATAGCTCAAAAATACAATAGTTAATAAATGTACACGAAACATCAAAGAAAGAAATTCGGAGGGACGTTTCGTGCGTATCCAATTTTTTGGAGGCCTTCCACAATGTCTTTGAAGGCGAGAGGATTTTCCACACTTGGAGATATCTACAAAAACATCAGTTAGATGGGAATCGGAATGGTAAGTGTTACCTTTAATAGTTTGTCATTTGCTAAATCGGAAATTTGTTTCCTACATGTTTTCCCGGATCTTGTGCGAGGTAACTGTTCAACAGCAACGCTTAAATGAAAAGCGGCAATTGGCCCTATTGTATCGCGAACCATAGTCACTAGCTCATTGTGAATACAATTTGGAGTTTTCAAAGTGTCTAAAAATGTGCATTTAGCAAGATGTGGTGGTGGTTAATCTTCGCTACCTTTTCTTAAAATGAATAGGCAAAGTGGTATTTCGCCTTTAGTTGATTCGTGCACTCCGACTACTGCAGTATCGGTTACATCTGGATGGGCCATGATCACATCTTCAATAGCTGCTGTTGAAATTCTATGTCCTGCCACATTAATAATGTCGTCATCACGCGCTGTTACGTAAACGTATCCAAAATCGTCAATATACCCGGCATCCATTGTGTCATAGTAGCCCTGTAAATCTATATTGTTACGGAAAGACCACATTTTGTCAATTTCTTACAGGATATTCGGTGAAGTAGATCTTGCAAAACTGTTCGGGTGCCTGATACAAGGTGCTCATGGTACCAGGTGGCAATGGTAATTTGATAACTAGTCTTCCGAGTTCGTTCGGTTTTGCTTCTTTACCTCTGCTTGTTAAAACACGGACTGCAACTTAGGAGTTAGCTTCATTTACATTTTTATTTATCAAACCAACCGTCATATCCTGGAAACGGCATACCGGTAGAAAACTTAGGGGGATCTAGGTGCTGGTCTAATCCCACACAAGTAGCAGTAATAGCGTGCCCAGTTTCAGTTTGCCACCAATGGTTTAGAACAGGCACTTCAAATGTATGTTGCGCCCACCTCTTGGTTTCATAATCTAAATGCTCTCCCGCAACAAATATCGATCTAAGGGTTTTAGTGTCGTAATTACGTCCAAAACGAATGGTGGGGTCCTCTCTTTTTATAACTCGAAAGGAGGTCGGCACCGTAAACAAAGCATTTACTCCATGCTGCTCTATAATACTATTATAACGTTATTTTTGCAAATTGGATAAGACACATGGAGTTACCGGAAGTATTGACCAGGGTCGGGAGTTCTATCAGGTTTCCCCTCGTACATCACGCTCGTTATACCATAGAGAAGCGGACCATAACAAATGTACGAATGTCCAACAACCCATCCTAAATCACTGGCCGCCCACCAAACATCTTCAGGACCCATTCCGTACACATTCCACATAGTCCAAGCTAGCGTAGCTAAGTGCCCACCAACTGGCCGTTGTACTCCCTTCGGCTTATCTAATGTTACGTTTATATTTAAGAGCTACATACAAACTGTTTACGTACTGGTAGTTCCCGAAGTGTATAAAATATACAGTGGATCATTTGCTTCGACTGGAACACAAGGATGTGGACCGGCCAAACTTAAAGCATCTTCCCACAAAATGTCCATATCTTTATCCAAAGCAGCTGTCTCTATATTCCGCCTTTGAAAAATGACGCATTTTGCTGGTTTGAACGAACACCATGCAATCGCTTTATTCAGAATATCCTTATATCTGCAAGTGCGCCGTCATAAACAAAATACCTATCTTGCATTAAAGTCATACTTGATGATTTTATTTGGTTCAAGTCCACAGTTAGCGGCAATGATGACTTTCGGTCGTGCGTGTTCAATACGATGAGCAAGTTCAGGGGCGGCAAATCCTATTCATGGAAAATCATGTAGGTAAATATCCATATAGCAAACCACTATTCCTTACCTCCAAAAACAACAGAATGAACAGCACCAAGGCGAACTACAGCCAACATGGCCATGACAGTTTCCGGTATCAACGGCATGTAGATGATGACTCGGTCGCCTTTGGTTACTCCAAATTTCGCGAGAGCGCCCGCTAAGTGAGAAACCTAAATAATGGCGTTAGGTGATTTATTTGCTTAGATTCCTTTACCTTGTTTAGAAGTTCGCCATATGTAACTTTGCGCACGGCATTCGTCATGGGACTATCATGAATGAGGGCGATTTTATGTCCCTTTCCCGATTCGACATGACGATCGATGGCATTATAGCAAGCATTTAGCTCTCCCCCAACAAACCTGTAGGCAATGATAATTTACCCTAGGCGTTTAGAGCCTCCACTTTACCATTTTGTAAACGGTTGGTTAGAATTATCCAAAACTTTTTTCCACGGTTTAGACCAAGTTAACTGTTGTCCTACTTGCGCCCAGAATTCTTCGGGATGCTCCATGGATTTTTTGTAAATTTCGTTATATTTATAACTGTAGTAAGGATTTCTGACGAATCCATTATCTATAGGTACATGCGGAAAAATGGTTAATACGCAATTTAGTTAGGTTGCCGCATATATAATCTGCTAGATGTAATGACAAAACAAAAGGTTAATATTCATAAATTGGTACTTGCCATTTCTGTGCAGATCTTTTATGTCAAAATTAATGTTAGTCTTCGGTATCATCTCTCCGGTATCTTCTAGATCTGTTCCATTAAAAGACGTGATCATTTTAGCACACGTAGGTATACCTAGTTCTCGAATTGGACTTTAAATTACCTGCGAGTACTACTTTGAACGATATGATGATGATTGTTTAAAATTTTCATTGTCTTCAATATACCGACAGATTACATTTAAATAAATTAATGGCTTCCTTTTCCATAAGCTAGATACTACGTACACTTATGAAATGTATCAGAGAAAAATTATCGTTGGATACTCTTTCCTGATTTCCGAATTATAACTGCAAATTGCATTTTGGACAGTTGTTTTTTTTTATTAGCGGGCTATTGTTTATTTTGATAGGTACTATGACAAATAATGTAAATTATTATTTAGAAAAGTGGTTTGGCATTCTAATATCTACGTTTTGTATGTAGGTACATTTCCATAAAGTGACTTAGCAAGCCCATATGTATACTGATGTGATTTTAGGATAATTAACATTATTTTATACGTTTTACGGGAATAAAAACCAATTTAATATACGCAGTACATTTAGTCACGACTATAATTAACTTCATAGAAATTGAATTTACTGATTAGGTACATACATCTATGAGAAATTCTTATTAAAATAATTAGTAGATTATTTCTTATTGTAATTTAATTTTATTCTCGTCCAATATCCCTTTCTTTTTTGCTATCTTTAGGTCCTTGTTGCTTACTTTCTGACACCGATTGATTCTGATTCCACTTCTGGATCTTTTATTATGACCAATATTCGAGAGGGTATGTGTCGACACTCGACAAAGAAGGCATAATGGGTTGGGTTTAAGAACTTGTTGAACTTTGTGTTCGGTAGTATTTGCTTTATTGGTGTTTCTACAGGTTCAGACGTAGTGCCTGATGCCTGGGTGTTTTATATTGATTTCAGCAAGTCTGCAATGGATCTTGTTTTGGGGAGTGTTAGGTTTTTGTGGATAGTTGTGATTCCATCATTTCTTGGGGAAGGGGTTGCACCTCCATGGTCTTCCCCAATATGTGGAATCCCGTAAGTCTGTACTGCGACTTCTACTTTCTATAGTAGTCCTATACCTACACATTTTTTTTATTTCTACTTGGTCACCCATGTATCTATTCAATTATTAAATCTCTTCAATAACCTTTCTGGTGTTCGGAATTGAAATTAACCCTTATCCCCCCCCTCAATCTATGGAACAGCTGCCTGCAGGGATTGCATGCTCATAACCGTCCTTCGATCTATCCATTTTTGCAATTTAAAGCTATCGTCCACAAAAAAGAACGCCCGCCTCTAACCTGCAGACGCTACTGGTAGAAGTCACGGGGTCGTTAACTCGTCATTCCAAACGGGAATGTTCTTCTAGGCATTCTCAATGTATAGTTGTATAGCAAGTTGATATTTTCCAGTGGCATGACTACTGACATTGCGTCCCAGTATCTGCTACGCCACTGGTTTTGCTAGGCGATAAATACCTACTACATTTTTAAAGATAGATCAAATTACTCGTAATCTACAAATATCGAAATCAGAGTATGTCTTCAATGTCAGCTTGCACAATGTCCTTTCGTTTCAGTACAAAAGCAAAATGTCCATTGTTAGGTACGTAATACAAACAGTTGGCAGCACTGAGTGACCACTCTTGTTTTGCTTGTCACAACAAAAGTTGTTACTGTAATGTCTTGTTGAAAAATAAAAATTGCTTATATTTGTGTAGATTTTTTTTCCATATTTTCTTTCAATGCACTAAATTTATATTGGTACGTATGGCTATCGTAAATATTAATTTGTTCCTACATTAATCGTCTTATTTTTAGAATTCACTGTTACACAATATTGACACACTTGTCTACTTTTGCAGTACAGTGCTTATGATAAAATGACTGTAACTAAAGGAAGACGCCCGAGTTACATTTTTCCCAAGTCCAATCAAACTTCTGGCTCAGAATCCTTACAGTGAGTAGTATATTTTACGTAGCTCTAAGTCAATTACCCTTTTACAGTATAGCAACTCCTTCTACGACTGACGTAGATTCCGATACAGAAGCAGCCCCTCGTCGGTTTCCGTTGAAGAATGGTGCATGCACAATATTCGAAACCATATACGTTGATCGAAAAAATGTCGGTCGCAGGAAACAAAGAATGTTGTTCAATCGTAGGTATGCTTATGAAATGCAGTTGTGAACATTTCTGTTCGTTATCAGATCTACGAATTGTTGACGAAGAAGTCGAGGACAGTGATTACTTCCAATTGATGGAAGATTATAAAACTCCGTTCGCTAGAGTTTTAGGAGATGCAGATGCATTGAGGCAGTGGAACGAGTTTATTGAACTGCCTGAAGAAGAGCAGCGACAGTTGACAGAGCTTGTGCCTAACATTCAACCTATACAATCAGGCAAACGAGACAATCTTCGACCAAAATTATCATCGAGAATTAAACGTGCCATAAAGATTAAGAAAGACCTTTCGTTGGACATGGTGCAAACTATAGAAAATGGGTTAGTTGATTATTTTTTATGCTCCCCAGAAGGGATTTTCGTCTCTACCCCACCGACAAGTTTTGAACGTTTATTGCTGCACGCCATTGCAAACTATCATCATTTGAAGTCGATAAGTAAAGTTTTTGTGTCATTTTATATGGTTCTATGCGGAAGTGTTTTGTAGGTATTATTGAGATTGAAATTCGTACTGTTCAAGTGACGTGTAATGAGGAGGTATGGAAACCGATGGATGTCTCATTTTGTAACTTTGCAAAACAACTGAGTCAGTAATGTGTGTAAGTGCCCGAGCACCTGCCAAGTTCAAATCATTGTTAATCGTAACCTAGATTTAAGATCATTGCTTGTTCATTATTAATGTAAGCTTTGAAACATTTGAGCAATTAAAGTTTTCAACATTTGTGTAAATTTTGTTATTGTTATTGTGTCTTGAAGTTCTTGTCGAGAATTCAAGCTGGACAAACGCTCAGTGGTCCATAAAAAACTCTGCGAGTGATTTCCAAAAACAATATTAATCCTATGACCAACTTGACTAGGGCACAGAGCGTCCTCCCTCATCATGATTGAAACGGCAACCCTCCCTCATTCCAAATGTAAAAGGCGACCGCTACGAAATGGAATTTTCAGTGTCCAGGTAAGATAATGTGAGGTGATCTACTATGAAAATAGTGCTATGTTAATAACGGTGCCCCCCCCCCCCCAATCGCTGAGGGATTAAAAGGTACTGTGAGCCCAAATAATGGGTTTGCTTTCCCTTCGACCGTTGTGTTCCGCCACTGACCGTACTGTTCAGGACGCAAACCTGGTGATCCTATCTTTATTAGAGCGGGCACTTGCTGCAGTAACATAATTAATTATTGGTTTCAGCTTATAAATTCGTAATTAATTTAATGCCTAATTATCTATTTTTTCTCCCGAAATTCGATACATTATTTCTCACCGTTAGTATATGTCGCCATCTAACGGCGCAATTTCGTACGAAACCGCGATTCCAGCTCCTATCATAATACAATACCGTTAACTGAAGTTCACCCAATATATCGTCCTTTGTAAGGCCCAATCTCTGTCCAAAAATGAAAAAATCGCGAAATTTGTGAAAGAAGATACAGTTGAAAAGTTACGAAGGATACGTGCACGTTAAATTGTGATACGGTAATATACAAAGAATAAGCTATTCGGGCATTAATAGACGGTTTCAAAATGGAGTAGTTCAATCATCGGATTTGTTGTTATTCGGCAATAATAAAAGAAGTTAACAATTTTTTCTCGATAAACCGATACGGTGACGTTAATCTGCATGAATTCGTGGTTATTGTCGGTATTATTGTGGTTTACTAATGTTTGTGTATTGTATAAACTTCGTCCTGCAAAATCGTTGAATGTATGACCTCTATGCTCATATTTTACGATTTTAAACCTATTTTGGATTAATGTAAGGTGAGTGCTATTTCAAATTGATATTTTACGGTTTGCAGCGACCAAACCCCTTTTCTATCCGTGTACTTATCGCAAAAGCTTTCCGTATATTTATAAATATTGCTTAAAACAATATTCCCCGAAGTGTTTTTTTATGTATCATTGCGGTATTGTTTTGATAGCGTTGCATTTCTGATATTCCCGAATGAAAATAATTATCTTTTGTTTGCTATAAGGAAGTATCATCTGTTTCATAAGGGGTTTGCATTTTGTTTGTATTAATCTTCTCTATCAGTCGCTGTATAGGGGTGATTGAGGATAGTTTCAACATCGTTTATGTTTGTTGATACATAATAGTCTTTTTACTAATTATTTATAAACAAACTTTATCGTGTAGATAACTAATACAAAAACCTGAAAGGCACTATTGTTGTCTAGATGAGTTTCAAGTCCACTTTCATCTCAATGAGATTTCTAAGAACAGCATTCAGAAGGTTAAGTTTTTTTCAGACTTTTTCTACCTGCAAAAAAGAAATGTATTTGATGACTTATTACTTGGTAATATATTTGTAGGAATAGCAATTTGGTAATTACATCTACAGTAGATCCAGGAAAAGTCTTTGATTAGGGTCATCATGATCTTATTACCTCGCTTATTACGGCCTGTAATGATCAACCTTTGTGGTTACAAGACCATTACCAGGATGGGAGCCTAGTTCTCCTTATCACAGAACAGTGTAACACATGATACTAGTTAAGTTGTAGTATCATGAGTTAAATATATACAGTAAGTATGATACATTGTATGTGTCTGCGTATTTGATCATTAACTTCATCCAGTTTTTCTTGGTTGGTAGGGTTTAACCTCGGTTTTAACAAATGCAACTGAAGGAAAAGAACGAACATTTTCGAAAAAGTCTCTGTCTTCTGAGGAGTTTCTCACTCGGTTCAAGTAATGCATTTTTTCAAGGACTGATTGAGTTATGGACTTCTGGAGAATGTGAAGGAATTCTATGGATTGCGTAAGAATTTTATGAGTGTCTTAAACCACTTACCGTATAGTACACACCACAGTTTTATTTTTTAGGTATTTTCAAAACGTAATTTTGAACGTACTGGAAAGCCGAGTGGAAAGCTCTCCTAACTACAATTTGTCGAAATATCAATTTGACAAATGGAAAATTCATCGAGCTTAAATCGACCAATTGGTAAATTCACCAAAATTTATGGTAAAAATCTTATTAAAAGGAGTAATGGCAGGAAGATTGTCCAACTTTCTCTCTTCACTGTGCTCAAAATGTCTTGAATTATTTATTATTTATCCATAAATAATGTTGGTAATTAGGTATTGGCCCCCTCACTAATATACTCTAGGAAGGAGATGATGCACAATGTGTAGAAGCGTCCAATATAATAGAGAATATTCGTCAATTCACAGTAAATACTCAAGATGCCGCCCCATGCTATTATATTAAACGTGGCTGCTAGAGCACATGAAGCTGTATGACCATTAGAAGTGTAAGGATTAGACAAGAGGCAGCTCCAGCTTTACTACAACGACGGCTTGACATCGTATTGTACGAACAATCAGGAAACAATCCTTTATGTATGCAGTGCAGGGGTTGGTTCCTTACTGGCATGGATCGCCTTATTTACCATGGATGCAATTAACAAAACAAAATCTTCATGAATCCATTGCCTACTATTTAAAAACACTAAAATCTGATACATCAATGTAATCAGGAAAAAGAATGAAAAAAATTGACGTTGAGATATACAGGGTGTTGCATTTAAAAAATATCAACCTGGGGTCAAATCGCAGAATCAGTGGTCCAAAGTCCAAAGTAAGATAGAATTGAGGATATAATAACATCCCAAAATGTCAAACTTTTCGTTTTCGCCCTGTATCTCAGACACAAACGTAGCAAGATTGATTTTGTTTGTGGTACCAACCAAAATAGGAGACACTGTCCAGGTATTGACAGCAGTGGATGGCCCATCGTCGAAACTTGATAACTGGAAATCTTCAGTATCTCGAATTATTTTCAACCCCATTAGAAAAATATAAAATAATTTTACGGCTTATAAGTCGAAGAGACAAAAATTACTTCTATACCTAACTTGAATTTATAGGTGGAAATCAATTTGCACTTCACCTCTCTAAGTGCTATCCAAGAAAACATTGACTGATAGGTGGTATGAAGGTCGCTGGGCGCGCGAAGTGAGGCGGCGCAGTCACAGTCCAAGAAAATGTTTGTGGTCGCACTCCTCCAAAACGTCTCGACTGATTTTTATGAATGTATATTTAGTAGGTATGAGGTCGTAACGTATATTTCATACCACTAGGTGATTATATAGTTTACCGGGTGTGCGAGGTGAGGCAGTGCAGTTGCCGAAACCGAGGTTGTGTCCCATTCAAGGAAATGAGATTTCCCAAAAGTGGGTACGAAGTTGGCGGGGTTTGTTAGTATAAGTCGAGGGTATATAATCAATGGTTTCGATGACGAAGAACTGATCAGTATATTGTGAGCTTTAATTTAGATGCCTGAGAGCGCTAGGGCATCAATTTCCTTGAAAAAACGTGGAACGCATGTTCACGCTAACTGGCCACGTTTATCCAATTTCCGATGTTATTCCGTACACCAATAGTCTAGGCGATAGAGACTGTAAAATTGGCAAACTGGACATTTTGAGGTGGAAAAGAAAAAAATGGTGGAATATGTTCAGTTAGGTGTCAAAAACAACATATTAAAAATCCCACCCTCCAGACCCTGTGCTAAAGGCTCCAGCCACCCCACCATCCCCCAAAAACCGCGTTTTCGCTCTTTTTGGCTGATATCTCGCGATCTATGAGGTCTATATGAAATATTTTTACCTGAAAATATTTCTCGGGGAAATTTCATACAAGGTAGATACTCAGAAGTTAGCCTAGGCTGAAAATGCTCCTCGTGAAATTTTTTACAAGGTAGATACTCAGAAGTTAGCCTAGGTGTGCCTCTTAGCCTAGAAAATTCATAAAAGGAGGCGAAAATCATTATTTTTTTACGGTTTTTTTGCAAAAATATCGCGACCGTCAGGGCTAGATGAAATATGTTTAGCTGAAAATGCTCTTCGTGCAATTTCATACGAGATAGGTAGGTAACTGAAGAGTTGGCGTAAAGTCACCTTTCACCTTCAACTTTCATGTGTGAGGAAATATTCATTGTAAAACAAAGTATTTCTATGTACCATTTATTCACGTAAAAACAGTATTTTCATATTAAAATATTCACACATTCATTTATACCTCAACGTAATCATTACCCTTATACTTATCCAAATCAATTCGTACTTTTTCGATCAGACTTCTCAATCAAAAGTTATAGACTAGAAACCAATTTGAAAAAAATTCAAAGGGCTGTAACTTTTGAACTAGTAGCCCAATCTTGGAACTGTTTGAAATTATGGATTCTACAGGCCACATTCTATAAGAAAAATTTTTTCCCGGGTCGATCTGACACAATTTTTTTTTCGGGGCTCAAAAAAAGGCAATGTATAACCTTCCTTTTTTTTCCAAAAATCGACTACACCAAAATTTCTCGGGAAAACACTTTCTTATTAATTTGGGTGCGTAGAATCCAAAACAATTCGTACTTTTTCGATTAGACTTCTCAATCAAAAGTTATAGACTAGAAACCAATTTCGAAAGAAAATTCAAAGGGCTGTAACTTTTGAACTAGTAGCCCAATCTTGGAACTGTTTGAAATTAAGGATTCTACAGGCCACATTCTATAAGAAAATTTTTTTCCGGGTCGATCTGAGACAATTTTTTTTTCGGGGCTCAAAAAAAGGCACCAAAATTTCTCGGAAAACACTTTTTCTTATTAATTTGGGTGCGTAGAATCCAAATCAATTCGTACTTTTTCGATCAGACTTCTCAATCAAAAGTTATTAGACTAGAAACCAATTTGAAAAAAAATTCAAAGGGCTGTAACTTCTGAGTATCTACCTTGTAAGAAATTGCACGAGGAGCATTTTCAGCTAAAAATATTTCATCTAGCCCTAAAGGTCGCGATATATTTGCAAAAAGTCACGAAAATTGATGATTTTCGCCTCTTTTATGAATTTCCTAGGCTAAGAGGTACACCTAGGCTAACTTCTGAGTATCTACTTTGTATAAAATTTCCCGAGAAATATTTTCAGCTAAAAATATTTCATATAGACCTCATAGATCGCGAGATATCAGCCAAAAAGAGCGAAAACACGGTTTTTGGGGGATGGTGGGGTGGCTGGAGCCTTTAGCACAGGGTCTGGGGGGTGGGATTTTTAATATGTTGTTTCTGACACCTAACTGAACATATTCCACTATTTTTTTCTTTTCCACCTCAAAATGTCCAGTTAGATGTCTTTATCGCCTAGACTACAATGGCTAAATGACTAAAATATATTTTTTATGAGATTTCTGTATTTATTCTATGGGGAAATAATTACACTTACCACAAAATGATTAATAAGTCATATTTTCTTTATTAGGAGCGGAAGTATTTCCAACGTGAATCAGTTTCCCGCACCCGCAGTTATTTAATATGCGATACGTACACGTGCGACAGATAGTTTTGTCCTTGTTGATAAAATAAGTATACCAGACTACGATTAAAATAGTTGAAGTGCGAATTAAAAGCTTCAAGTGAAGTTCTTAGTAAAACGACGGCGCTTAAGTGTTTTTCTTGTGTCTAAAAAGATCGTTTTGTTTCAGTTATGCAGGAGAAGACAAAGATAGCGCGGGCCTGGGGCATGCTCTGGGTTAATTCTTCATGGTGGTAAGGGCCGCTCGCACTGGAGCGGTGGCTGGAGGCAGAGCCCTGGCGGGCCTGTGGATATTGCTGCTGGCGGGTCTGTGGAGCCGCGCCTTTGGAGGGCTACTCCTGGCGCAGTTTCCAGGTCCCGTCGATCCGCCGTTGCGGTTTTCGCATATGGCAGTGGATCGTCAAACCGGTTATCTTTTCGCTGCTGCTACAAATCATCTCATACAGCTGGATCCAGATCTACGCCTTAAACATATTGTTACCACTGGACCGCATAATGACAGCCCACTTTGTCATGCAGCCGGGTGCCAGGGTACCGATATTCCGACGTTACTTACAAATAATTACAACAAGATTTTGGTGATTGAACCGGAGAAGCGCATGCTAATCTCGTGCGGATCGTTGTCGCAAGGCGCTTGTTATAAATATCGGTTAAGTAACATCAGTGCACCAGGTGAATTCATTCCTATCAGCATAGCTGCGAATGATGAGCTTGCGACCACGTACGCGTATATCGGACCAAGAAATTATAACCCATGGGGAAGACCGCACGTTCTTTATGTTGGCACTACTTTTACAAACAACGGAGAGTATAGGCACGATGTTCCAGCAATTGCGAGTAGAGATCTGGACACGTTAGACATTGCCGAATTTTCATTCTCGAAACAGTCGTTAATAAATATCGACGTAAAATACAGAGATCATTTTTTGGTGCAATACATTTATGGGTTTAATGCTAGCGATTTTTCGTATTTTGTAATTGTGCAAAAACAGTCGCACTTACCAGGACAGGAAGAGCAAGGATACGTGTCGCGCTTATCTAGAACTTGTATCAATGATGCCAATTACGATAGTTACACAGAAGTTACTTTACAATGCGTCGATGGTGATCGTAGATATAATCTTGTTCAAGATGCTAAAATCGCAATTGCGGGGGTGGAACTCGCCGCTTCCTTGGGAGTTTCGCCGGGCACCGCCGTTTTGGTTACTGTATTTCAACCGGCCCGAGGAATTACTAACGAACCGCAGCCCCACTCCGCATTGTGTCTGTACCCTTTGCGAGATATCGAGGCGAAATTTAACGAAAATATTCATATGTGTTTTAATGGTAGCGTTAAATATCGTAACATGGGATACATATCTGGACTCATACAAGACGGCAAATGTCCTGGAGCTGGTAACGCGGGAAATATTTTAAATTTTTGCGAAGTGGGTTTAAAGATTAGTGGCATTAGCCCTATAACGGCGAGTGCGTCTTTGACGTTTCCGAACACTTCTTTATCGGCCGTAGCTACAGCTTTAACCGGACGTCATGTTCTCGCTTTTCTGGGTACTAACAATGGCCGTATCAAAAAGGTGCTACTTTCGGGTGGTGATCCCACCGAGTACGAGGAAGTGGTTGTTGATGATGGAAATGCTATTCTACCTGATACAACTCTTTCTCCATCGGGGGATTATCTGTATGTTTTATCTACCTCTAAGGTATGTATCATTTGAGTGAAGTTCAATTTTAATTATACGAAGCTCCCATATAATTAGGATTGAACTTCACTCAGGTAAGTTTGTGTATTCACTAATTATATTCGGCTTTCTTTTTCATAAACAAGCTTATAGGTTACATAGGCTCTCAACATAATTTTAATTTCGCAGTAGGTCCACGTTAAACACCACAAACTATTCCTAATCCTAATACTATATTTCAATAGTGGGGATGATACAGCTTTTAGAAAAATTCGTAAAAAGATTGCAGGGTATTAATCGAGGGCCATTTTCCACATTTGCTCAACATTTGCTACATTTGCCAGACATTTGCTATAAATTTAACAGAAATTTGCTACATTTGCTCATCATTGAGGTACTACATACATTTAAATTCATGTACAAGCATTTGCGCGGATCATTTGGTAATTGAAATATTATATCACTTAAGACACTTAAGTGATAAACAACAATTGAATATTTTCTAGAAGACTCATAGAGGTTAAAATGTGGTCAAGAAAGTGGAAATATGATGCTGATTCAGCATTAGCAGTCCATCTTAATTTATAAGTTCGTGTCTATTTTTAATTTATTAAAGTATGAAAGACAAAATTTTTTTAAATGCCTGTAAAAAGCCTTATGAAGCCTACGAAACCTATTTTAACTACCCCATTCGGAATCTAGACCCTCCTGGGCTTCACATGTTGCTTGTAGTAACTACAAAAGACCTTTAGAAGGTAAACGATTTTCTGCAAAAAAAAAAAAATGATTATTTTTATTATTATTTATTATTTGAGGGCGTACTTACTCAGAAAAATGAGTAGAACGTGTTATCAAGATATGAACTTTGAACAACATTATCATGATAAATACAACGAAAGTGTGATGGGGGACTATATTTTGTTTTTGGGCTTAGTGAGAGCAAGTACTTATGAACACGGAAAAAAGAGTAATAGGATTCACTACTAAATTTTTTTTACTATTTTAAATTTGATATGATAGTAAAAGTTTCATACAATTACATTTGTTTCGATTTACCGATAAATAAAAATTTCAATTCTGGATTTTCTAAAATACTGGTCAACGGCTCTCCTGAATACAAAAGCAAACTTTTTCAGGCCCTATATATTTTTTTGTCTAACTATCAATAAATGTATCAAAATTTCATATTCTCTTATCAAAGTCAAAAGTCGTATTGGCCTGTGTAACCAATGGGTAGGTACATCAACACATTGTATGAGTTACAACTTCAGAATCATCTTATGAATGATCATATAAACAGAAAAACGATGTATCTGCCATATGACTCCATAGTAAAACCAGCCTACGACTGGAAGGTAGGCAATATACGAGGGCAGATTTGGTACACGCGTTTCCTATACAGGGTCATTCTTGATGACTGTCAGTTAGAAAGATATGGAGAACCTTTGAAAACGATACTATACTGATAAGTCCTTTTAAGGGTTTTGGCACATGATGAATTGAATCTTAGATCATATAAACATGGATAGAGCTATCACATAAGCTCTACTAAAAGACAACCGTCGCCAACATTCCAACGTGCATTTTTCTGCCTATCATCTTTTACTATTAGTAAGTTGTAATGTATTTATCCTTTGCCGGGTTGATTGTAAAAGTGCGCAAGCTTGGCGATTGTAAGGACGTTTGTCCGTTTGACATCGTATATTCGCAAACAGTTGTTTTTGTTGTTTAACCTTGCTTGACTTTACATGGTTATATATGAAACTAAACTTTTAGTACAGTTCTGTACCACTAAATTGTCCTATAAAGATATGTATTTATTCATGTATTGAGAACCTTTTTTACCCTAAATAATAAATATTGCATTGTTTATTAACATTGTGAGGTTAAAGATTTGAATTTTCTGATTGGTTACTATCACTGAAACTGTACATGGAATAACAACATATAAATTGTATGTCGACAAGAGAGATACAGCACAAAAGTATGTAGAGTCTTGAATCAGAACATGTTGGCGACATAGTGTAATTGCATCGCTCCATCCATGTTTATATGATCTAAGAATTGAACTAAAATATTTTTAAGATGGCGCCACTTCCGCAAATACCGGAAGTGGCCATAAACTTTGTTATTTTAAATAAGGACCCCCTATTTTTTCTACATTTTTGGATTCTACGTCGAATTTGGAGTACAACGAGTTGGTCCTTTGCTCCAAGGGCTTCGTCGATAAATCGATTATCGATTAATTAAGATATGTTGTGATTAGTTACCTTAAGATTAACGCTTTTTACACATTTGAAGAGTTTCTAGTTACTGATTGGTGTTCTTAATATTCTGTGATATTTTGTCTATTCTACTTAAGTGTTTTACTGTATTTTAACTTGACCTCTTACTATTTTATTTATATGTGTAGATTGCTCTGTTAGTAGATGCACTAGTTTATATATGTTTGACGACACAGATACACACAGACACGATACAGTCGAGGATATAGTTTATACTATGATAGCTGGAACATTTAAAGAATAAAGAAATTCAAGTTTTTATGTCAAAAATGGAATTTGCAGGGGTAATTAAAAAAATTTATTAATTTTTTTTAATCAATTTGCTACAAGAAGTGACTAAAACATGGAATATCGCGGAAACCGTTTGAAGCAGCCTCTGACATTTTGTATCAAATTAAAAGTCCCGGAAAAAGGAGAACAATTCAATAAATGAATGAATGAATGAATGAAAGAAAAAATGTGCGGGGGGGGGGGGGCATTTTAAAGAATGGTGTTACGAATATTTAAAAATTTAAAAGTTGAGAGCTTTGAAAGAGTGACGTAGTCTCACTTTTTAGACGGTTACCCATACCATAAGAAAATTCGATATCTCTCACCTTTTTCGAATAATAAATTTTTAAAATTACCCCTGCAAATTCCATTTTTGACATAAAAACTTGATTATCGACGAAGTCCTTGGAGCAAAGGGTCAACTATAGGGTATCGTTGTACTCCAAATTCGACGTAGAATCCGAAAATGTAGAAAAAATAGAGGGTCCCTATTTAAAATAACAAAATTGATGGCTAGTTCCGGTATTTGTGGAAGTGGCGCCATCTTGAAAATATTTTAGTTCAATTCATCATGTGCTAAAACCCTTAGAGGATTTCAGTTTAGTGTCATTTTCAAAGGTTCTCTATATCTTTGTGACTGACGCTCGTCAAGAATGACCCTGTATAAAACAGTCGGAGTGCCGCCACCGTTATGCATCCTCCTTGCTCATGGTGTATAATAGACCATCATGACCTTGCTCGAGCACATTATTTACGACTGCACGACATGAACGAATTTTAAAACACTTTCTTTGCATAATTTTCACGTAATGAAAGCGCCTGGTATACATTTATCGTTATATTTACAAATCATTGATACTCGCATTGATATGTCATATTTAATAAACATTTACTACATTTCTTAAACATATGCTACACTATTTACTACATTTCCTCAACATTTACCACATTCCCTGAACATTCGCTACATTTCTTCAACATTTGCTACATTTGCCCTACATTTGCTCATCATTTCCTCGGGACTGTACACCACATTTGCCCAGCGGTCAACCCCTCGGTTTAATGGTGACTCTGGCATAGGAAACATTGGTAAATATCTGTAAATATTACGGATGCGCCACGCACTGAAGTTGAAACTCGACTGCGGTACTAGGGTCTCGGGTTCGATGGATGTTTGTAAATGTATAGTGGGTTGGGTTGGTATGAAACTCCACCCACTTAAAAGTAAAGGCCAAAAATAAAAAAAAATTAATAAAAATCAACCTGAAAGGTATAGCCACGGCGCTTTTGATTTGGCGGTCGAGAACCAAGCGAGATGGAATGATGCCGGCTTTCTTCCGCTTTGAGATTAAACTGATTTATCATTGAAGTAGTGTCATCTGACAGTACGTAGTAGTACAGTATTAATGGCCTTATCCCTGCTGCAGTGTAAAGCCAATATACCAGTCGTGGGTTTAAAAGCCCCATGTACATTCAACAGCCCCTCTACAGGGTGTTTTTTTGGGAGCTTTAGTTAAAAGTTTCTGGGAAAGTAAAATAGGTAGGATTTTGAAAATTTGTACTTAGGAGTTACTCTGAAAGCCGAATCGATGTAAAATATTTTCAAAATGGCCGCACTTCCGGAAACACCGGAAGTAGATAGTAACTTCGTTATTTTAAATGGCACCCCCTATTTTTTATTGCATTTTTGGATTCTACGTGAAATTTCAGTTCTTTTGATACCCATATGTCGATATCTGTTTTTAAGTTATTTTGATTTTATTGTCTTACTTAATAAAATATTGTCTTACTTAATTAAAACTCAATAAATGTGATTATTATTATTATTATTATTATTATTATTATTATTATTATTTTTAAGAAAAAAAATGGCGGATGCAGATGGTACCTTGATAATTGATTACTTGAAAACGGTTGTAGTCATGGCAACCCTTTTTTATCAGTGCATAGAGAATGAATAGGGCTTTCTTTTAGTGCACTTAAAAAAAAGTTAAGTTGTGTACGACCGCCCCTATGGAGATCCAAATTTATGAAACTTCAAAGACTAAAAACTCAGTTTTTTTAAATGGAACGACCATGTTCTTACTATTCCATGAGATAGAGAATCGAAATGGGCATATTTTGACAATACATGTTCCTATAGCTATCTTTAACAGTTTCTGACTTATTCCCATTTTATTGATTGACACTATTTTTTTAGGATTTTCTTTTTAGTAGTCGGCCATGATTCTATAACAATTGAATTTTAAACAAATCTAGTGACACTAATCCATCACCCACTGTTATAGGTTAACATAAGTTTTCCAAAAATCGAAAAATGACTCGCAGTGGTTTCACCTATTTTGGAATTTAATTGTTATTTATGGTGAAATGGGCAGAATCGCGGCGCGTGCTTTCGGTACATTCAATTGTATGAATTTTGGAAATTTTGTACCCCTAATGCACTACAAACCGTTGAAGCACAAGTGATACAAAGCTCTACAAGAGAATATTTAAGAAAATGAATTGAATTGCAAATGCAAGATTAACAAATTAAATTCAATGCAAAATATAAAAAACTTCGTTGAAACATTTTTGGTATGGAATTGTTGCTAGAACAGATATCGCATTACCTCTCTTAATTTCCAGACTTATAAGTTGTTTAAGAAATTCAGTTGAACGACTCTGTTTAGATTTTTCAAAAATTTTCCGTCCTATATCCTTAATTATTTAGTTATTTATTAATGAATTATTTAGACTAGAACTAGAATCAATGGTATTAAAGAATCCATTCCTTGATTTGTTTAAAATTCGATTGTTATGGCCAACTACTAAAAAGAAAATGCGAAAAAAATGGCATCAATTCCGAGATCAATTCAATGAAATGGGAATAAATCAGAAACTGTTAAAGATAGCTATAGGAACATGTATAGTCAAAATATGCCAATTTCGATTCTCTATCTCATGCAATATTAAGAACATGGTCATTCCATTTTAAAAAAACTGAGTTTATAGACTTTGAAGTTTCTTAAATTTGGATCTCCATAGGTGCGGTTGTACGCAACTTAACTTTGTTTTAAGTACAGTAAAAGAAAGCCCTATTCATTCTCTATGCACTGATAAAAATGGGTTGCCATGACTATAACCTTTTTCAAGTAATCAATTATCAAGGTACCATCTGCGTCCGCCATTTTTTTCTTAAAGTCAAAATAACTTAAAAACCATAAATGGCAGATATGACATATGGGTATCAAAAGAACTGAAATTTCACGTAGAATCCAAAAATGCAATAAAAAATAGGGGTTGCCATTTAAAATAAAGTTACTATCTACTTCCGGTGTTTCCGGAAGTGCGGCAATTTTGAAAATATTTTACATCGATTCGGCCTTCAGAGTAACTCCTAAGTACAAATTTTCAAAAACCTACCTATTTTACTTTCCCAGAAACTTTTAACTAAAGTTCCCAAAAAAACACCCTGTATATGCCCACAGACATGCAGTGACCTTTTTACCTATTCGCTCAATGTGCCCTTTCCAGGTCAGGCGGGAGTCTATGAGCGGGTAAAAGTTAGAGTTCATAGCATTTACGCATAAAGTTTGGGGCGGAGCTACCCGATTCCGGCCCAGAGCCGGTAGAAAGGATGCCGCCTCACTCAATGCTTCATGGAGTATTTGCGAAAGTATGCTAGCCGGGAACTCATCTCAGGATGCAGAGGGAACTTTGCTACTATGAGTAGTTCGCCGCCCAGCCAAACGAAACATAGGGAAAAGCGTCATACTTCACGGCGTAAGTGAGCTCATCAAGTCCGCTTTCCTTCTATTCGAGCAACCTCAGTCTTTTCCGGGTTCCGGGTTATGACAATCAAGATATTGTCCGAGTATCATTGTGTATACGCTCCCTCCTCGTTCAGACTGCGGAGAAGCCAGCCACCACAGCAGTCGAGACAACACCCCATGCTGCGGACATCTCTAGTATCTGCTAGGCTCATTTTCGTCATCCCGATTGAGGATATATAGACTCTGCTTCCAAACACGGAGGATCCATCTTACGATTGATCCATCAATGCCAAAGCTTTCAGCGGCGTCACTAATTAAATTGAACGTGGTATTGTTAAACACACTCTCGATATCTAAAAACGCTCCCAGAGCTACCCCCGGCAGACATTCCCTTTTCCAGCCTGCGCACTAGGTTGTGTAGAGCCGTCTCCCTGCAAGCGGATGTAGTGGTCTAAGGACCAGTACCCCATTCCTTATGTATGTAAGCGATGATAGGCTGATGGGCCCGTAATCCTTGGCCATGTTATATTTAGCAGGACCCTGCTTAGGTAGGTACTTATGAGCAACCCTGCATAATTAAAATTATTACTGCGTAGTAGACATTGAAGAACCCCAAAACTTTTGTATAATTTTTATTTTGATATCGTGTATATTGTCCCCGATAATCGACCGTTTCCCAATCTATCAACATCTATTTTCCAAACTCGAAATCCCGAAAACGATTAAATTTGTGTACATTAGGCTTCTAACAAATGTTGCTTAAAATTAAGAGAAAAATTGAAATATCGAATAATATACAGGGTGTTTCACTAAAAAACTTGATGACCCTGTATAATTAAAATTATTACTGTCTAGAACCCCAACACTCTTTTGATATCTTGTATATTTCCCCTGATAATTGACCAGATTAGGGACCCTGTATTTATTTTTTGACTTTATTTTTAAGTGGGCGGGTTTCAGCCAAGGCTGCGCTACCAATCCAACCCACTATACATTTACAAATATCCTTGTCCGAACTCGGATTCGAACTAGGGACCCTTAGTTCTGCAGACGCGCTTCCACGCCACTGCGCCACACAGGCAGGTGTGTCACCATTTCTCGCAACTTTTAAAAAAATCCCCCATACGCCGATATTTAATCGAAGTCGGCCTTCAAGCATAGCAATATCGGTTTTGACCAAAAATGCCTTATCAGTCCTAGTTGTTAGAACTACTTACTTTCCTTCAAACAGGAATGGCTTTGAAATCTTGTGCTTTTGGTATCAGAGGAATGTTGTTTATGAAAGATGAAGTTGAGTATAATTCAGGAAAAAACCGCCAATTTAACTGTCAAAAACAAGACCATTAGATGGCGACAGTAATTTAGTAATTGAAAATGTTTCACCGGCACTAAAAAATTATGTTGTTTTAGATCTCAAAAATAAATGTAGAACACTGTAGTAGTTACAATAACTGTTCGGCGTGTTTGGAATCGAAGGATCCATATTGTGGTTGGTGTTCATTAGAAAAAAAGTGAGTTCGTTTATTTTAGTATGGGTGACTGCTAAATTACCGTATCTTGCAGGTGTACAGTGCGTAGTGCGTGTCAAAAGGCTTCTCACAGTTCTCCTCGTTGGTTGTCTTTGGGCACAGGTCAACAATGTATCGATTTTGAGCAAGTGCTTCCTGATCGCATTCCTATTAATCAGATGACTACCGTCCGTCTTACAATACGTACTTTACCTGAACTTCCTTACGGTGCTAAATATAAATGTGTGTTCGGTTCGGCCGAGCCCATCGATGCTGTAGTGACAGACTTTGGTTTATCATGTGTGACGCCAGATATTTTAAGTAGGCCACAAATTTTAGGGAAGCAAGATCACGTGTTAGTACCTCTTAGTGTTCGTTCTTCGGAAACCAATAAGGACTTTGTCTCGCGAAATTTTGCCTATTATGACTGTTCACAACATTCCACTTGCATGGATTGCGTAAAATCGCAATGGGCGTGTAATTGGTGTATATACGAGAACAGGTGTACACATAATACGTCGACGTGCCAACGGACTATTATCAGTGGAGAAAATGTAAGTACTCGTACTCGTGATAATGTGTAATTACTGTATTTGTTTAGAATCCCATGCATTTATCAAATCACGGAGTCGACTCGTGTCCAAGATTTCGAAAGAGAGATATTATTTTTATTCCTAATAACGTTCCGAAAGAAATGGTATTCGAAGTGGAAAATTTACCACATCCGCAACCGGGACATACAGGGTTTCAGTGCATTGTCAATTTCGAAGATGCCAATATGCTTGTGCCGGCACGAGTAGATTCCAATAATAAATATATCGTCTGCGATCGAACTACGGTAATTAAATTTGTACATGTTAAATTTGTTTAATTTCTCTCGTTGCAGTACACCTACAAAATGAAGACTGGGGAATATAAAGCGAATGTACGTGTAATATGGAATCGTAATCATCACGTTGATTCGATGAGTGTTATATTGTATAGATGTGATATTCTTGGTTCACATCGTGAACATCCAGATTGTTCACTTTGTGTTACCCGAAATTCTAAGTATCAATGTACTTGGTGTGGAAATACGTGTAATTATAATGAGACCTGCCAGCATGTTTCACATACCGAGTGTCCAAAGCCTCGAATAGATGTGGTAAGTTTTTGTGTCACCCTGTTCCGATAATCTTTTCTATAAAAAGAGAAACTTCTTTGTGTCGGTCGCTTGGATTCTGGAATGGAAGCTAAGAACTGACATACAGGGTGTACAACAAGCTGATCTGATTATTACAAATAAATTTCTGAAAATTTGTACAAGTGTTATGTCATATGTAACAATTGGTGTTCAGGAATTCATCTCAAATTTGGCAGTTTTGAAAATGTGAAAACTTAATTCTTTTAAATGGATATGGATATAGCTGTTCTTCAACTCCACCAGTGGTGGAGTATTGTACTCATGTTTGAATTTTGTATTCACGTAATGCGAAGCATATCACAATTGCAATTATTTACAAATAGATTATATAAAAACATAACATACTGTAAACAAAGGCGCCCCTTTTTCAAATTACATCCCTATATATTTTCAATGAAGAGTTTTTGTGGAAAGTGGAACGAAACGAAAATTCTGCAACCATTGCCACATTTGACACTTCAGCCTGCGTTTGTTTTTTGATGGTTCTATTTATGCCTCTTCCACTTTTAAAAAGCCGATACACTTAAATACCGAATGTTAAAGAACCAAGACCAAAATAAAGAAACGATACAACAAAATGCAGAGTGTCATACAGCTTTAAGGACATCAGGGCAGCACATTATGTAATGTAGCCAGTTTGTTTTTAAAATGCTCAAATGCCTAGGACCATTGAGTAATAAATATGGGAAGAGGCGCAACTATATGACGCTTTATCTCGCCACCGCATCCTGTTGTGATCTAGGCGGCATAACTGGTAAAATCCCGACGAGATTTTCAGTACAGCGGCTGCAACTGCAACGGTGAGGTTGTTTGCAATTCGTAATATGAGGCGACGGCTCGCGTGAGTCGTGCGCTTCTTTATCAATTGCAATTCAAGCTGGAAAAGGAAACCAATACAAACATTGTTTCTGTTTCGTGCTGATACAGTAAAGAATTGCGGAAATATTAATTTGGCTTTTAACTTTTAAATGACATGAATATAAAATTTTATTTTTTCTCTCGTTTTTTCTCCGATGTTTGTTCCCTTCAATTATGTAGAATTTAGCTTCTGATAAGTAACAATTTACCTATAAGTCACAAAATTGTGACACATATTCGTGTATCAGCGCGAATACTATCTAAAATCGTTGCTAAAATATTTTCAAGTTTAAGGAAAGCGTAAGGATAAATCAAATATTCATGCTGCACAATTAGTAAATTTGCTATGAAATAGTCCAGTCAAATTAGTTTCATAAGTAGCCTAAACTGGATGTCATTTCACTCAACGAAAAACCAAGTGTATTCTATGTAAAAAAAATCCGAAAATCATAGAGCCCCTGGGCGGAAACTCCCGGAACATACCTATTGCTATAATAGCCGGCACTTTTACACAAAAAAATGCCCTAAATTAGAATTAGTAACTAGCTGATTTTTGGTGAGGTGAGAATATGATAAGGTAAATATTTTCTGAAAGTTCCCCTTACTTCTCCCGCTTGCTTCACCCGGTAAAGCGATAGAAAGAGCATAAAAGTGACGAGAAAGTAATGAAATCGCTATTGTGCTCCATTTTACTATATCTTTAACTTCAATCAGATTTTTGTCTTTTTGTGGACTTTTTGGCATATTCTGTAAAGGTAGGTTGGATGTTTTTCTAGTAAAGCCTTATAGGTTTCAAATGCTTCTGGTGCTAAAGCGTCACTTGAAGATAGTATTTTAACAGCTCCTCGAACGTCGCCATCTGAAACCTTTGATTCAACTCGACGAGATAGGGACGAATTGTTCTTGGTTGTTTTCGATTGATAAGGTAAATTTCCATTAATGTTTGCCTTGACCAACCTCGAAAGGGAACGGTTTTTTGACTTGATTGGAATACAGAGACAGGAATATGTAAAATTAAGGGGACCAAGAGGATATATCATTTTTTGATACACAATTGTCAATTGATCGAGAAAATTTGGAGACTGCTGACAATCTCGCTGTTTTTGGAATCCACTTATTTATTTTCTGGCAAGTGATCCTCCATCCTCGGTCTCATTCGTTTTTGACGTCGCGTCGCTTTACCGATATCTTTATGGCATTTTGCGATATGAATATTCAGTTCTCTTGTTGTAGAAAAGGGTTGATCAAAACTAAAAGAACTTTTGTAACTCTGAGAATGATCGCTGTGTTCGTGTGGCACTTTCTTGGTGGCATGAAATCCAGAAGGGTCTTTGGATGGGTATTTTCTAATTTCCTTGTCTGTTAAACCTACACACGACGATCAAGATCATTTATTTGAAAGAGCTGTTTGTTGTTTTGCTTCTTGAAAGGACAGGAGTAATTTTCTTCCATAATATTTTTACCAGAGTGGTTTCGAATCCTGCAAGATACAATAGATTACGACAATGTTATTGGGCGGTCTACTTTATTTGTTTGTGTATTTGTTCTTCTTCACTTGGAGAATAAGGAGGATTGTTTAGAGCGAAAGAGGGCCTTCGACTTCTGAAGGTTCGTATCCGCTTTGGGGTAGTTAATTTCTGCTTCCAAAAAACCTCTTTATTTTTTATTTCATTACATAGAAGTGTATGAAAATAATCGACAAAGAAAAAACATTTACTGTCTGAAAGGTTTTCAATGGACAATAAAAGCCATTCTGCTACCGTGGAATAAATTGAAAAAGGAGGAAGTGAAGTATTTACTAACCAACTTCACTAATCAAGACCCTCTTGAAAATTTTTTTTTCGTCGTGAGGAATCACTGGCTACAATCCAAATCCCACAATCTGTCAATTTAGAATAAGTATGGAAAGGAATATTTCAATAAGATTGCAATCAAATTTAGGTAATTCCAATTGTGAAATTGATGATTCGGAACACTTGGACTTAGATGTAAATATACCAGGGGCAAATAACGAATCAAATAGTGAGATGTCTGGAAATATCAGCTTTTTAAGGCAAGTTTCGGAGTTGAATAAAAATTCAAACATTGAAAATAGCGAGAAAGTAATACAAAACAAGGAAAATATTGATCCCATTCCCGAAAAACCAACCCTTGAATTGTCCTCTAACATTTATGTAGCGGGATATTTAGCCCATACGCTTTTAAAACATCATGATTGTGAAATTTGTAAACCAATTATTTTAAAATCAGACAGTGCTATTATTAATAAAAGTGAAATATTTTTGCTTCATAAGGACTACGGTGGTGACAAATCTATTAATTTCTTGAAAAGACCTACAGACGAATTTACGAAGCTAATTCAAGATATTTTTGCATTATTTTCCACAGCCTTTGAAAAACAAAAACATTTATTTGGTGTGCGATATACTCGTATAAAAACTTATTGTGAGGAAGGTTTAAGACACAAATTGGGCATGAGCGCGAATCATTTTGAGTACGTGTTGAATAATGCCATCAAAATGCTTATTCACCACAATATCCGTAAAGAAACGGCTAGTTACAAATCTTCCCACCAAAAAAGAAGAAAAGTATCAATTTTAACGAACAAATGAATTTACCTTATTTAGTGATTTAAATTAGCTAATTGTTACATGGTGTGAATTTAAATTTTATTTTTTGTCTGTTTGTTTCCTTAAAATTAAATTTAGCTTCTGGTCAGTCAACAATTTATAATTTTGACTTATTCCTATCAGCGCGAATACTATCTAAAATCGTTGCTAAAATTAAATCCGCACCCCCAAATATTAATTATTTGATGTCTCAGCAGCCTGCACAGTTATAATGGACAAAGACATTTAAAAGCATCAAATATCAGTCAACTCATCTATTGCTCTGCCCCCAGCCCCATTATATCTGCCTTTGATTTGGATTTAAAGATTTAAACGTTAATTGAGGATCAAGAAGTTCCCAAAATGGACAAAAGAAATTGTTTTTCAATAATCTAGTCCTAGGTAAATACCCATTCCCTTATGGTGTCACATAAATACAATATTATTACGGTAAGTTAAGTAGGTTGATATAATAAATAGGAATTAAATGAATGAAGTCTCTAAAATGCTAAGGAAGTGCACAATGAACACACAATATCTATTTTTAATTTTATCAGATACAAAATAATGTGTAGTTACGGATGACGTATTGCGTGGCAGCACTCACTCATTCCGTAGTTTGTGGACGGAGGGGTGTATAAAAACGTTTAGAGCGAGAATGAAGTGAGATATCGCTATGGAACGACAATTTACATTGCGGTTGCGCCTCTTCCCTAATCCTTCACTCAACGCTAGGACAAATTCTCGTTCATTTTAATAATCATACAATTTCAAAGAAGATTTTGAAACTGAAATTTTGGTCGATAAATAATTTAACGACGCAAGATTTTCAGTGATGTGTTGTCTATCTTTTCTTATATATTTTATTTATGTTTGCAGATTAAGCCTTTGAGTGGGCCAATTGAGGGAGGTACCCTTGTAACAATAGAAGGAAGTAATTTAGGTTTAAAGAAGGAAGACGTAATGGGTAAAATCCAAATAGGAGATGTTCCATGTGAACTTGTCAATTATGAAGTGTCTGTAAAAATTCAATGTATATCTGGATCGTCTCCCATGGAAACTATTGCGCCCGTTATTGTCGGAAACGAAGCTGGATTCACGAAGTCGTCGGTTGAATTTAGTTACAAGAATATACGACTTACGGGAGTTTACCCACCAATTGGTCCCCAATCTGGAGGCACACAGTTAGCGATAAGTGGACAGTATCTTAATATAGGGTCTGAGATTACAGCGTATTTGGACAGTTACGTTTGCCAAGTGAATTTAACACAAGCATCAAGTAGTCGACTAACATGCATCACTTCTAAAGCCTCAAAACCCATAAACATTGAAAAATTAACACTTTCTATCGACGGAGCTAACCGCACTTTAGAAGGCAATCCGTTTAATTACACCCAAGATCCGACAATAATGGAAGTAAAACCTTTGAAAAGTTTTGTATCTGGTGGTCGTATGATATTTGTGCACGGGTCTAATTTGGATAGCATACAAAAACCGGAAATGGAGGTCTATTATTACAATGAACCGGTACCCGTAAATAAAACAGTCTGCACAGTATTAAGTTCCACACAAATGGAGTGTCCAAGTCCTGCAGTGAATCGTCAATTTCTCATAGCGAGTACTCGCGTTAGTAGATCTGTTACTGGCCGAAAGCATTCACTCGTCAAGATATCAGAAGCGCAGCTCAGTCTCAAATTCGGTTTCATTATGGACAACGTGGTCGCTGTGAGAGATCTGGAAAAGCACTTTTCCAATTTGCGTTCCCAATTATTATATGTCGAAGACCCCAAGTTTTTCGAATTTCCAAATTTGATTAAGTCCTATAAAGGTGACACGCTGGTAATCGAGGGAGAAAATTTAAATGTAGCAAGTGACGAGGCAGATGTGATAGTTACAATTGGTACCAAGCCGTGCAACGTCACCAGTTTAGCGCTTATTCAATTGGTTTGCTCTCCCCCGGAGCAGCAACCAGCTGATACTGATGAAAATGGGGTTAAGGTAGGTGCAATTCAACTGAATTTGTGAAGCCAAGTTCTGTACATTAAGTCGTCAGAAATGAAGCAATAGAAAGCATACACTTTTCTTTATTTCTTTGCCATCAAAATCAAATTTTATGAAGATTAACAAACTATAATTCCCCAATTTAATAGTTTATTAAATTGGGAATTGTAGTTTTTAACCTTTTTGATCAGGCGTCACTACTATTTTCCTAAATATACTTTTTTGAATTTTACAATAAAGGGTTGTAAAGGGGAGATCCAGATTATAGCGGAAAATGTTTTCATATGAAATGGTCACACAGACACCTCACGACAGTTGCCTAAATCTTGGGGGAGGCGGCGACGCCAGGCATATGTCCAAGTTTCAAGTATTGTATCAGGTATTGAATAGTAAACACCTCAGTTCGTCCGTTTTCGTAGAACATTAAGAAAACCAAAATGCGGGAGATGAAGATCATTCCTTGACTTGTTTCCGTATCGACATTGAAGTACATATATTTAAAGCTACATGCATGCAACATTTCATCCTTTCTTTGAGGTCGTATTTTAAGTTAAGTTCCCGTACTATATGGACTCTCAAAAAAATGGGCGGAGCAACAAATTCCACAATGTAATAAAATTTGGTAGTGGGGGCAAAGAGTAACCATAATAAGAGATTCAATGGCATAGAGAATAGTGTTGCATATGTATTGTGTGTTGCCTAACAAATTTTACTGTTCTTTCTCAATTTTATTGGCGTACGCTACGCCTAAGGGGCTATTTCAAGGCAACTACTTGTTTAGAAGTTTATAAATATCATTGCAGAAATCCCAGAGTTGCCAAATGTTTAGTGTTTGCTTGTACTTATTTAGGTATCTATTATTCCTTGAAATGTATGATGTTTAGAGATATGTTATTCCATTCTACGCTTATGGCACAATTTATAAGGAAGGAACGCTTGTGGGTTTGATTCATAGGTATGTTCTTCGTGTAACAATAAGCCGTTTTTTGAGCGGTAAATAATAGATTTTTTAGTGTGTATTGTGTATTCCCAGTAAGCGCGAGTAATAAGCTCGCTTTGATTACGTCTCTGCCCTTTGTACACACACGGACGTATGGAAAAGTCGACCGAACTAGATCGTTTAGATAGAGGAAGTAGATATTTACTTCCGACTTGCGCGGAAATAAACGAACATTTTTTAAAAAAAAAAGGCCAATAGACGTTTTATAGCATTTATTGTACAAATAATAAGATAATGAAAGATTCCCGGAAAAAATGTTGCAATCACTTTTTAATTTTTGCCGCCCAAACTATAAACAATATAATAAATCCAAAATAAACTGCCTCAATTGGATTATAGTTGTGATCGAATGGTTCAAATCAGTTAAAAATGTGAACTGTGGACCAACGCAACCCCACCTCTTTAAAAATGGCTTCTTTGCGATAACTGAAAAACTACTTGACCGATTTGGACCATATTTTTTACCAGTCGATGCGACTAATATCCCCTTTAATCCCCATTACATTTCAGTCCGATCGACCCACGCATTCCGGAGATATTTAAACGCTCCAGAAACCCTATATTTGGATTGAAAGCCAATGTTGTTTTCAAAAATGAGAACATACACTGCATTATCAATCGTTTAGATGGATGAATCACTAGCAGAGTGCGCGGTGGCTCAAGTTGAGCGGCAAATTTAAGTACATATACTTATGTGTTTTTTCCGCTACTAGCCAATGGTGATTGAAAAACATGTGTACAACGCTTAGTTGCTAGGGGACCGATGCGCGCTAGTGCTGCAGCTTAAAATGCGGATCGAGAGTATTTTTTTAATTGAATCGTTTAAATGAGAATAACGTGTAAATATTTAATTAAATTTATTCGACGGGTGCAGATTTATTAATTTATTATTTAACTGCACTATATATTTTGACTGATTATTGGATTAGACTGATGTTTTTTTCTGAGGACATAAGGATTGTTGCATTGTAATGATTGATTGTTAATGATTAAACAACTCAGCGTATGTAGGCATCTATACAAAATTAAAGCAAACAAAATTTCCTGTAAAATAATCGCTATGCTCATCATAAAATCCACTTTTATTAAATATGTTGTCTACTTTAATTTGATTGTAGTAGACGATCTAAAAAGGATGGATAATAACAAATTTAATTTACATTTTTACAATTGTACCTGTTATTGGTTATTAAATTAAATAGTAATTAGACGCCAACTAAACAGGAAAATACCAATGTAATTAACAATAGGTACTGAATCGTTGCTGATTTCTTTTATACTTAAGTAATGTTTTCTAATTATATCATGTCCACATTTTATACAGCCAATTATAAAGAAAATTAAATGTGACAACCGCGCAAATATTTTAAACCGAAATTCTATAAAGAATTCTGTAAATTTTCAATACGCGCCAATATTTAAAGAGGCGGTTAGTTCTGGCCACCTCTACGCGAGGGCCCGCTTTTGGAATCCTAGCGGGCGAGTTCTTATAGCCAACACGCGTTTATACCATTGCGCTGTATCTCTTATTATGGGTACTCTTTGGTGGGGGTTTTAAATTAACGAACTGGGTTTAGTGGGGAATTTACTGCGGCAAAAGAACTCATTACTGAAGACTTGATGGGTATTTATGCTAACATTTTTAATTATTTCGCTCTATTTGCAGACTGAGGTGAATCTTCCATTGGTTGTCGTACGCGTAGGTAAAAATATTCGATTTACGATAGGATACTTACATTACGACGTGTACAAATCATTTATTTTTCCTCCAACCGCTATAGCTATGATAATAGCGGGAATACTGCTATTTATAATATTTTTTATTGGCGTTTTAATTATATACAGACGAAAGTCGACACAAGCCGAACGAGAGTATAAACGAATACAGATTCAAATGGATACTTTAGAGAGCAATGTTAGATCTGAATGTAAGCTGGGTAAGTATTATTTGGTCGCTACATTTTGAATATTAGTGTAATATCTATGTAGCCTTTGCGGAACTACAAACAGACATGACTGATTTAACTGCAGATTTAGAGAGCTCTGGAATTCCTGCTCTCGATCACATGAGTTACATAATGAAGGTGTTTTTTCCTGGCGTAAGCGATCATCCTATATTGAATGCACCTAAGGTAATGCTTTCATTGTGCCCGATTTGTTTGTTACTCTTTATTTGTTACAGATTCGTATTAATGGTCCTAGAACTAATTATGATACGGCGATGTTGCAGTTTGAACAGTTAATTAATAGCAAACATTTTATTCTGGTTTTCATAGAGACTTTGGAGACTCAAAAGTCTTTTAATATTCGTAATAAGTAAGTGCGCCGGAAATGCAAATAACCGACAAGTTACAACAAATTTTAGGGTTAACGTTGCATCCTTATTAATGGTTGTGTTAATGGGTAAAATGGAATATGCGACAGATATTCTAAAATGTTTAATGTTACGACTTATTGATAAATCGGTTAACACTAAGCATCCTCAACTAATGTTAAGAAGGACAGAAAGTGTTGTCGAGAAAATGCTCACAAACTGGATGGCAGTATGCATGTACTCGTATCTCAAAGAATACGCGGGCTCGTCATTATTTTTATTATTCAAAGCCATTAAACATCAAATTGAGAAGGGTTTAGTTGATGCTATTACGCACGATGCGAGGTATTCTTTATCGGAAGAACGTTTACTTCGTGAACAAATTGAACATAATGTAGTTGTACGTTTCTTTTCTTTTAAATTAGTTACATTACTGATTTGCGTTGCTTTTAGACGCTCCATATCGTTCAAGAAGATCTCGACGAGAAGATCCAGTGCAAGGTTTTAGATTGTGATACGATAAGTCAGGTTAAATCAAAAATCTTAGATGCGTTGTTTAAAAATACTCCATTTTCACTTCGACCTTCGATTTATGAAGTTGATTTAGGTATTTCGAAAAATTTTTTTTGAATTGTTATTCATCGACTGTGTTACATTTTAGAATGGAGACATGGAAGGGGTGGGCATTTAACTTTGCAAGATGAAGATTTAACTACAAAAACTCTCGGAGGTTGGAAAAAGTTGAACACTTTAGCACATTATGGTGTTAAAGAAAGTGCTGTGATGTCATTAATTTCAAGGCAAAATGATAGCTTTAATAATTGCAAACAACCGTGCCATAACTGTAAGTTCATGGGTATATCTAATTCTGTTCTAAATTTAGAAACACTAACTAAACAGTTGAAAATTAATTTTATAAAAGTTTTGTAGTTTTTCAAACAGTCAAAATCGGCCGCTTATAGGTGCATCACACCCAACGACTTTAGGATTACTCCTATTTGCTAAAGTTGATTGTGAGGTATAGGGTCTATGTCTGTGAAACTCGAAAGCAAGCTTGAGTGCTGTATGTAAAGGATGTAACAGATTTTTCTTTTCTCATACTTCTGGCTAATTACATTAGGTGTGGTTCTTGTTGTGTAATTAGATTAATATGTCACGGTTGCTCGTCGGGTAATGACCCTCTTTTGGCCTCAAGGATTAGGAGTAGAGGAGAAATAATGTCTAAATTTTGAATTGGTTCTTATTTTTGCTGAAACAGAACACATTTTTTTAAATAAATGACGTTGAGGATGGAACAATCCTGTAAGGTAAATACCACATTCATTCGTAACAATCATACTTGACAAGGGCTCTGACGCTATTTTAAAATCTACAACAGGGCAAGCTATGATAAAAGCAGTTCGACAATGAGGCACAACTGCGACGCAAGTCATTGTGTATAAATACCTTGACTGTTTATGCACTAGGAGTCTTCGCTGCGCTTTTGTGGGTGTAGGGTGTAGTTGGACGCACATGGACCGACCAAAATTTAGGCGTGGCTTCTTTTTGATTTGATGTGGGAATGAAATTGACTTTCCAGGTGGGCTTTGCACATACCGGTCACGGAATAGACGCGTTGTTTTCTGCTATGGAAATTACTAAGTATCGCGTTCTTCCAGGTGTTTGCCTCGAAGGTGATTTGCTTGGGCTGTTCACGACAACTGGCGCAAGTTCGACGCCTGAGATTACCCTTGGAATCACTCACACGAACTCGATTATATTTATATCCCTTCTCTCAGTACCTACTGTAATTAAGTTCCGCTTATCTCGCTACAACAAAGCGTTTATAAGGTTGGCGAAAATCTTTTACCTGCATTTTGTCAATATGACCACGGTACCGAACAGACGTATTCAACGACTCTCCTTGCATTTATTTAATGACAATTTCAATTATCTTTTTGCGATTGTACATACGTAAAGCGTAAATAAATCGCGATTATTAATTTATATTGCTAATTCCAGTTTATTAAATCACATTACATGTACATACACAAAGCAAACATTGCAGCTTGTATCTTAAGAAATAGAATGCCAAGATTGAATATACTGGGTGTAAAAATTAAGTACGAGCTCTGGCTATTAAATAACGAGGAGTTTTAGAGAGGTAGTGGGGGAAACGAATGCAGCGTTGGCTAGCTGGAAGTGCAAAAACTCGTTTTGATTGTCGCTCCCGTTGCGTAGTTATCTCACACGACCACTTCGTTTTTCATTACGCTAACACCACTCGTGATGAAACCTGGATATTCCAATACAATGTTGAAACTAAGCGACAATCCATGCACTGGAAAACTCCTGCATCGCATAGAATGAAAAAAGCAAGGATGTCGATGTCAAAATTTAAAGCCTGTTTGAAAGTTTAGGCAACACTGCAAGAACAAGTTCGTAAAAACTGGCCGGAGTGTTGGAAAAACAAGTTGTGGATGTTGCACCAGGACAACAATGCGCTGTCTGGCCCGCTACAGGCATTGTAGTGCTCAAACCCATGCCATACTCGCCTGATCTAGCATCCTGCGACTTTTTCCTGTTTCCAAAGTCTTAAAAGGAACCTGGTTCGAGCAATCTTCGTGGCAATTTTCCCAGAAAGTATTGTGAATGCTGATGGCTAAATGTTTTATGGGAGAAAGCATAGTTCTGGGAGTATGGGATACCCTCCAGTGTATATGGTGGTTCCAATCCCATTTTTTTAAAAAACGTAGCGGTGTACCCCCAGCAAATTCTCTTTCGTCTCTCATGGTAATCTTTAGGAAAAGGTAATCGAACCTTGGGGTATCCAAACCCCAGTTACTGCCTTTTCCGTCATACTTCTTGGTAGAGGGGATGATTTTCCCAAAAACTAATGATTTGTGATGGCTAAACGTTTTATGGGTGAGAGCAAAGCTCCAGGACGTAAACGTTCCATTGCCATTTAAAAAAATAACCTAGCAGTGTACCCTCAGCAAATTATCTTTGCTCTACCACTCTCATGCGGTAATCTTTGGGAAATGGTAATTGAACCTTCATTTACTGGGGGTAGTCCATACCTCTTAGACCCCCCGGTACGGCCTTTGCCGTCATATTCCTTGGTAAAGGGGATGTGGTAATCTTCCCAAGAAGGAATGAGTTTTGATGGCTAAACGTTTTATGGATGAGAGTAGCTCTGGGGGGTATGGATACCCCCCAGTATATGCGATGGTTTCATTGTCATTTTCAAAAAAAAAAACGTAGCAGGGTACTCCCAGCAAATTTTCTGTTCCTCTAGCATTCTCATGGTAATCATTGAGAAAAGGTAATCGAGCCTTCGTTTACTGAGACCCAGACTCCCAGTACTGCCTTTTGTGCCTTATTTCTTGGTAGGAGGAGATGTGGCAATCTTTCCAAAAACGAATGAGTTCTGATGGCTACTAAACGTTTTATGGTGGACATCGTAGCACTGGGGGGTCCGTGGGGATATTCCAATACCTAATTTTTTTATGCTGTTTCTAAAATGTTCTTTGCTGTAAATATGCAGGATTTAACGTTTTGCAAAACGTCTGGAGGTTTCTTTTCAAACACACCAGTTACACTTCGCAGACATAGACTATACCTCCCAATATTTGGGAGCAGCTAGAGCTCGTTTTGGCTCACACTCATTCGGATAATTGCTTTTATACCATTATTAATCTTAACTATTAATCTTGCAGGCACAACCGGAATGTATTTTAGCAACTCTCAGTCACCGATAATAGCAACAAATGGTGATATAGAAACAGGAACAAACATGAAAATTTACCACTTAATTAAGCCAGTTGACGATCATCAATTTCCTAACAGTAAATCGACAGAGCGTACCCACAAAGCGATACCTGAAATATTTTTAACTCGACTGCTCTCTACAAAAGGAACGGTTCAGAAATTTGTAGATGATTTCTTTTTAACTATTTTAACTGTGAACGATGTCCTACCTCCGGCCGTTAAGTGGCTGTTCGATTTGTTGGATGACGCCGCTAAAAAGCACGGCATTCAAGATCCCGAGGTGGTACACGCGTGGAAATCAAACAGTCTTCCTCTTAGATTTTGGGTGAATTTTATCAAGAACCCGGATTTTATATTTGATATTAATAAAACTATGACGCTCGATTCGTGCTTATCGGTTATAGCGCAGACATTTATGGACGCCTGTTCAACAACCGAACATAGACTGGGAAAGGATTCGCCGTCGAATAAACTGTTATTTGCTAAAGTAAGGTTCGATGCAGTATCTTCAAATAATCGTATTTATTCGCAGGATATTCCCCATTATCGAGATATGGTGGTACAGTTTTATTATGATGTAGCAACTCTACCTGTGATTACCGATCAAGAAATGGGATCAGCAATGCAGCAGTTATCGGCCCAACAGGCCGATGAATTCGATACGGTGGCAGCTCTAAAGGAACTCTATATTTATGTTACTAAATATAGAGAACAGGTAATTTTTTCTTTTTGGTTGACATACCACTAGAATGCAACAACAAAGTAGCATTTATTATCTGGATATTTGCCAGGCCACACTATGAAATTTCAATGTCTAAATCACTTTTCCCTTTTTCTCCATAGTTTTTGTCTTTACGCTACGCTACAGGTTGTCTAAAATTGACCAAAGGAATTTGGTGGTTGATGATGATGTATTGGAATCATAGAGACGATAAGTCATGGGATATGTTACATTAATTTTATCTCTACTGTTGCAGCTATTGGAAGCTTTAAATAGTGATGGTAATTGTCGTCGTCTTCACTTGGCGCAAAGATTAGAAAACGTCGCGTGTACTTTGGAAGGAGAAGAAACTTCGGCTTGCTGACCAAGTTTGTCACCTGATCTCCTGCTGCCCCAACCCTTCGCGCCCAATTCCATGCGCATTGTGCACTCGCATGCATGTGCTTTATACAATAAACATTCTCCGTCGGAGTAACAACGTTTATGTCGAATGATGCCTATAAAATAAGGTTTTCTTATTAATGGAGAAGCATGTGGGTGTGCGCGTGCGTGTTATACTGTGATATGGCGCAAGATCGGGTGACTGATTGGACGCGTACTTACCCTCCAGCAGCTGCTAGTTTCCTTTTTGAGTGCCTCGCTATGCTGATGGAACGGAACTTGGACCGTGTATACGCGCAAATGGCGCACTTATATAGCACATTTTGATTTTATTCGGCTAGTTTAGTTTTTAAGTAGACACAACAAATCTTTACTCCGGTTGTATTTGGCTGACATTTGTGCGTGTCATGTGAGTTATCTTTCGCAATTAAGTATTTATTATTTTAGGCGTTTTAAGAATATGATTACCTCGCTATTTCTTATTTAATTCAAGTGTCAGTCTACTACATCTAGTTTATTGGTCTGTGCCAGAACTGTATTTATATGGAATCGTCTTCACGTTCAGTGATTTGTTCGTTACTATTTTTTATTACGTTTGACATAGGATAATGTATACTTGTATTTCAAATATTTTTTTGTACATATATAAATTGTGCATATAGATAATTATATCGGATTTATAAAAGTGTTTATATTTAAACGTACATTAATTTTTATAAACATTACGTTACACTTTTAATTTTAAGACAGCTCTTCGTAATTATGTAAATGTAAATTGCGTAACTTTATAAATTGTGACCTCTTTTATATTTTTATTTCTCGAATGTATTCAGTATGACTTACTGAATTTAATTCACAGAAAGCCTAATGGTCATAATTTAAAAGGATAACTAGGTTTTTATATTCCAAATGTCGGTGTTGCAATTTTTAAATTTTATATAGTCAAGTTTTAGGAATATTATTTTTATCGTAATTTCTTTTACTTATAATGTAACCGTTTATCGAATTTTTTACGACTACTTTGCGACAGTTTTTTGATATTTTATTTTAGTAATGTGATCGTGATTTATAGCTTTTTGTATAGTATATTGTTTATTGATATTTTTTTACTTTTTATTAAACTTATCCGCCAAATTCTTATGACTTAACTATGCTTGATTCTCTCAGTAATTACATTAATGTACTGGTCAAATGAAACTGCATTTGCAATAATTTTCAATTATACAAAATTCGTTTTGTCCTAAATTGTAATTTTGAATAAAAAATTTTAAGAAATGTGTTGATCAATTGGAAAACTCACAGAAATGAGAAATTTTTATCAAAATAAATGTGGAGAACAGGTTTTCTTTGTTACTCAATAGAAACGTTTTTTTTTATTTTCACGATGTGCTATTGATAAATGAGTAACAAATAAAATATTGTACATTATACGCCAGGTAATAGCCACTCAACTTCTATCGCCAATAAAAACTCACTTATCCAGCTAATAATGTAAAATACTAGTCACATGCTAGAAGATAAATACTATTTATTAAATCGATTTAGCCTGTTGGGCAAGACGAATGAAAGTGATCAAAATCAAACAGGAGAAACAAATCAATCGGTAAGATCACCAAAACCACCCCCTATTTTCATATATACGGAGTTAAACACTTCAAAGCTTAGTAGTAGCATTGTATAAGATGTATATACAATGGTAGTAGTAACAGAAGAGGAAACACACAAAAGCGTTATCGAATGAAACTGTTAAATTCTCTGCGAACACAATTGAAACCAGAGCTGGGCAGAATACTTTCAAAAAGTATTTGAATAGTAAATACTTTACACAAATCAAAGGTATTTGAATACTATAAAAAGTATTCGAATACTTTCAAAAGTATTTCATTATCTTACTTTGAAAAGGATTCGAATACAGTAAAAAGTATTCAAATACTTGTCACTCAAATACATTAAAAATTTAAAATAGTATTCTAGATAAATACTACTTAAAATGTGGCCTGTAGAATCCATAATTTCAAACAGTTCCAAGATTGGGCTACTAGTTCAAAAGTTACAGCCCTTTGAATTTTCTTTCGAAATTGGTTTCTTTTCTAGTCTATAACTTTTGATTGAGAAGTCTGATCGAAAAAGTACGAATTGTTTTGGATTCTACGCACCAAAATTAATAAGAAAAAGTGTTTTCCCGAGAAATTTTGGTGCATTCGATTTTTGGTAAAAAAGGAAGGTTATACACTGCCTTTTTTTGAGCCCCGAAAAAAAAATTGTCTCAGATCGACCCGGAAAAAAAATTTTTCTTATAGAATGTGGCCTGTAGAATCCATAATTTCAAACAGTTCCAAGATTGGGCTACTAGTTCAAAAGTTACAGCCCTTTGAATTTTCTTTCGAAATTGGTTTCTAGTCTATAACTTTTGATTGAGAAGTCTGATCGAAAAAGTACGAATTGTTTTGGATTCTACGCACCAAAATTAATAAGAAAATGTGTTTTCCCGAGAAATTTTGGTGCAGTCGATTTTTGTAAAAAAGGAAGGTTATACACTGCCTTTTTTTGAGGCTCGAAAAAAAATTCTCAGATCGACCCGGAAAAAAATTTTCTTATAGAATGTGGCCTGTAGAATCCATAATTTCAAACAGTTCCAAGATTGGGCTACTAGTTCAAAAGTTACAGCCCTTTGAATTTTTCTTCGAAATTGGTTTCTAGTCTATAACTTTTGATTGAGAAGTCTGATCGAAAAAGTACGAATTGTTTTGGATTCTACGCACCAAAATTAATCAGAAAAAGTGTTTTCCCGAGAAATTTTGGTGCAGTCGATTTTTGGTAAAAAAGGAAGGTTATACACTGCCTTTTTTGAGGCCCTCAAAAAAAATTGTCTCAGATCGACCCGGAAAAAAAATTTTCTTATAGAATGTGGCCTGTAGAATCCATAATTTCAAACAGTTTCAAGATTGGGCTACTAGTTCAAAAGTTACAGCCCTTTGAATTTTCTTTCGAAATTGGTTTCTAGTCTATAACTTTTGATTGAGAAGTCTGATCGAAAAAGTACGAATTGTTTTGGATTCTACGCACCAAAATTAATAAGAAAAAGTGTTTTCCCGAGAAATTTTGGTGCAGTCGATTTTTGGTAAAAAAGGAAGGTTTACACTGCCTTTTTTTGAGGCCCTCAAAAAAATTGTCTCAGATCGACCCGGAAAAAAATTTTCTTATAGAATGTGGCCTGTAGAATCCATAATTTCAAACAGTTCCAAGATTGGGCTACTAGTTCAAAAGTTACAGCCCTTTGAATTTTCTTTCGAAATTGGTTTCTTTTATAGTCTATAACTTTTGATTGAGAAGTCTGATCGAAAAAGTACGAATTGTTTTGGATTCTATGCACCAAAATTAATAAGAAAAAGTATTTTCCCCAGAAATTTTGGTGCAGTCAATTTTTGGTAAAAAAGGAAGGTTATTCAATTTTACAAGATTCTTGAATTAATTCCCATACACGCCTATCATTCGTCACATAAATTATACAGAATTGCTAACTAAAATATGGTTCAGATTTCAAAATAATTTTCAAAATAATATTCAGATAAAACATTCTTCACTACATTTTCCATGATTCGTTAGCCATCCCGACGTATCGCCTGATGATGGACGAGAAAAAAATCCGAAATCGATAGCGACTAACATTTTTCAATAAACAAAATTAGTGTAATATTATCGACAACCATTAAACTGGGTGGCATCTAGAAACAACACTGCATGGGGATACAGACAGCAAAATCCTAGCACTAGGGATCAGCGGCTCAAATTGGCGCCTATAGAGCCGGAGACGTTTTGTGGGCTGTTAAAAAAGTGTTATAGGCCAATGTTGGGTAAGATCCTTTAATTATGGATCTAGATACAGATCCAGATACATTAAAAAAATTCTGATCTAGGTCCAGATCAAAGATCCGTCAAAAGGATTTAGATCTTTTATAAATCCTGCATTATTTTTACATTACCTACTTTTAAAATGTGATTAATAATAAGATTTAGATATCTGCACCGTTAAGTGGCACAACAAATCCAAACAAATGTGCATTTAAATGTACTACAGAAAATTCGCAGTTGACGTATTAATTTGATAAGGGCAGTGTTGACACTGGATCACTCCTCTATTCTCACTTTTTGAAAGGATCTTGTAAAATTTACAATTTAAAATAAACTGAGCTTCAATTAATTCCTTTTTTTCACCACTATAGCGTCTGGATGACATGATTATTAACCTTTTTTCACTTGTAAAGTAGGCTTTCTCGGCAGTTGTTCAAAGTGGTTAATAATGTGGTCATTATTAACTATAGTAGGCAATAATGGGAACTGTCACGCTGTCACTTTTAGAAATCAGAACCCGAAATTTGGCTCAATAAAGGTGTAGACAAGTTCTCTAAAATGAATAATTGCCACCAGTCATTTCGAGAGAAACTACATTGTTAAAATTATCGCATTTAAAAAAAAATTCGAACGAAATTACTCTCTATGAAAATATCTCAATGACAGAACGCACTTAATTAGCATGTTAAATTAATAAACAAAAAATTCTATCCAACCGTTCACTTTCTTAACAATATAGAGCTGTTAATTTAGAGGACTTCAAGTACTATCTAGTACAGTGAAAAAAATAGTATACCTACATACCACGGTAGAGAATTCTATTATTGTTTTCGCCCCTTAATCTTGGTGCTCAGGCAATAATATTAGACTTCTCTACCTTGGTATATAATGTACTATTCTTCATCTATCATCTAATCCTGTCAGAATTTACACTCAAATTAGGAAAATGCTTACCTATTTCTTATTTTATTCTGTGTAACCTGTGTAACCCCTTCCCAGGTTTCACTTTTACCTATTTAGAATTCAAAGTTTGCTTAGGGAATTCCTACTTAACTAACTAGTCGTGTATATCTACATAACAATAACGTGTTTTTCGGATAATTCAGGTAGGTCGGCTGCGGCATGCCCATATACACGTGAGTTGTCTTATAAACAATTACCTCACATCCGTCATACCTCCTAAGCCTAAGCTTAGCTACCCGTAGGTAATGATGTCCTGCGTAATGAACGCAACATATTTATTCTTTAAATAAAAACGATTTACTTCGCCAATGTTAAATATTGCAAAAAAATCGTTTTGTATAACAAAATATTAAAATTGACTGCCAGATCTTGGATATCCCGATATCCAGATAAAGGATCTTCGTCTAAAAAATCAGAACCAGATCCATTGGACCTAGATACCTACCACTTAACACTGATGGTATCACTACCTATGTGATTTCCAAGTTGTAAATTGTAATCACCACAGAAAACCCTTCAACAATTTAGCTTCAAATTTGGAATGATTAAGTGAAAATTACAAACCGCGTCTGTAAAATAATAAATCATTTATAGTAAGATGTAATAGCTACAGAAGAACAAGCAATAGTTTGTGAAAGGTCTTTTTTTTTTTTTTTTTTTTTAGGTTTATGGCTACGACTGCTGAGGTCTTGCGCCATTTTACATGAAAACGGTAACTGGTTAAATCTCTCTAAACATGTTAATAACTTTTAAAAACTGTATTAAACGTGCAATACTTCTACGATCATTACTTAAAATCTTACTCAGTTCTTTATCCATCAGGTTCGAATTCTCTCTTTCATTTGTGAATACAGGACAATCTATTAAGAGATGTTGCAATGTATAAGGTACCCCGCATATTCTACAGATATTATGCCCACATCTACCTAGGAGGTGTAAGTGTGTCAAACGAGTGTGCCCTATTCGCATTCTTGTGTACACTACTTCTTCCCTTTTTGATAGGTTATAATCATTTTTCCATGGCCGTACATTTCTTTTGAAATTACTTAAGAATGTTTCAGATTCAGCCCAGATTGTTTCCCATTTACGCATAATCCTTTTTTTTATATAAGCTTTCCAGTCCGTACATTGAGTAGTAACTTCATCAATGCTCCCATAGTTTGAAGAAATTTTCGCCGCTTCATCTGCTTTAACATTTCCATATATGCCAACATGTGCTGGTACCCACATTAGAAAGATTTTAAATTTAATTGATCTAAGGTAGTATAAACGCTCTTTTATTGAGGTAGCTATAGTGGATCTAGCGGTATGTGTCTCCTTATAAGGGCATTAATAGTACTAAGTGAATCTGTGCATATGACAACTTCCGTTTTAGTAATATATTCGCACATTAGGAGCGCTTGCCACACCGCATACAACTCAGCCGAATATACGCTTGAAATGATACTGTGACGCCATGTAAAGGACTTATTGTTGAAATACACACCACTACCAACACCATCATTCGTTTTTGATCCATCTGTATAGATAATATCATAGTTTTTGTAATGAGACAACATTTCCCTAAAGAACATTCGGTAAAGAGACGTAGATGTTTCATCTGGTCTTAAGACAAAAATGACCCAGAGAAGTTAAAATTGAGAGGAAAGTTACACGCACTCTTGGTAAAAAGCAAGGGATTCCCTGGATAAACAAAACTGCTAGTTATCATTCCTAAACAAATCAAAAATAAGTAGATACTATTATTGAGATTTATATCAATATTAATACGCCTACTTCTGTGGCAATGGAAACTATCTGTTTTCACAGGAAACGTGCTATCGCATACCTAGTTCTAAAATGCATTAATAATTATTTATGTATAACAATGTCACGCTCTGTAACTACCATTATGTTGTTATCTGTATGTGTTTCTCTAGTACAGCTGGCATTATTAAACCATGAAATTTCATCTCAACACGATCCTAGGTTCAGGCCTCTCACTAGAAGTAAAAGATACTTAGGACTCCAAAAGCATTATAAGGTTAGTTGGAACAGACAATTAGATTATTTTAACGTTTAATGCGCAGATTAATCGACGGTACCAAGAATGCATTGCTCCTGGCGATGTCCCAGGACACTGTAAGCATGCCGCGTTTTGCGAGATGAACGTCCTAGGATACTCCAAAGGATCCTTGGACTACTTATGTGTTATTACAGAAATGTAAGCTGAGCTGATCTGATCTGTTTATGGCTAGTTAATTTTTAGGCATGTTGGGGTTTGTTGTCCTGATGATGTCTTGATTAGTAAACTTACCGGTTCACGTATTGTTATGGATCTACCTGCCGGAGTGAGAGATTATGATGATGATGAAGAACTTTCAACGTCAGGTACCTACTATCACCGCTTTGGTAAAGTTTTGATTGCTCTTAGTACAGGGTGCGGAATAACGAGTAGTAGTAGTAGAAGAACGTCAGAAAAACAATCAAGGCAGTGGCCTTGGTTAGCAGCGCTATATAGGCCCGGTGACACCCAATTTTCCTTCTGCGGGGGAGCTGTAATTACTGATCGGCACATATTAACCGCTGCCCATTGTATACATAGGTAGGGATTTATGCTCTAAGCTAACATATCGTTTTTTTTTTGATTTTCAGTGCATCCAAGGATAATATACGAGTCCGACTAGGCGAATACAACTTTATGCAAGTCGGCGAAACACGTGCCAGAGATTTTGGAGTGAAAGATATTACAGAACACAAAGAATATGACCCGGCAACATATTTGCATGACATTGCAATTGTAACTTTGGATAAGCCCACCGTTTTTGATACGTATATATGGCCAATATGTTTGCCTCCCATGAATGGAAGTTATGTAAACGAGACGGTCATTATTGCTGGATGGGGGCAAGAAAGCTATTCTGGTCCAACGAGCGCGATTTTACGTGAGGTTGCCGTACCCGTTTGGGAGCAAGAAAAATGTGTAGAGTCCTTCACTCAAAGAATTACTGAAAATAATTTGTGTGCTGCCGCCTACGAAGGAGGAAAAGATTCTTGTTTGGTAAGGAGCTTTTACTATTTTTCTTTTACTTTAATTTATATTTCGAAAGATTAGATCGCGTAATTTAGATGTTAGCGGTCTTGTTGATCAATGCAGAGAGGAAAGGGAGTTTTCCGATCTTGTTCTTCGTTACCATATTACAAAAAGGATCAAAATGTAAAGTGGTTAATTAATTGGGGGCTTTTTATTGGTTAGAGCTAAATTATTAAGATGCGATAAGGAAAGAGCCACAGTCTTTTGTTTTCTCGAATCGAAGATATTGGGCCTTCTCCTAACATGAAGACATACTCACCATAGGGTTTTCTATCAAACGTGCAATTTCCCCAGTCCGCGTCAACAAATTCGGTTAAAGGTTTTGAGCTTTTCCTAGTTCCAACGTACCTTTAAGATATCGTAAGAAGCTGTAACAACAGTTGAATTGTTCCAAATAACTTACGGCATAACTTATATCGGGTCTGGTTTGACAAATAAGTTAAACCAGCAGTTCTCGATAGGGAATACTTGTAACATGAGAGTTGTTCTTCAATTTCGACGAGGTATTCGTTGGAGTAGAAACAGGTTTAGCATCAGTCATCTCAAAACGGTTTAAAAGTTCATTTATGTATCCGGTTTGAGTTTCCATCTTCAACTTTCCGTTGAGATAGGCACACGTGACATCTAGCTATCGAATCTTCATGACGTATTGAACGGCGATAGCGTTCCGATTCTGGTCACCTGCGCGAAGGTTTCACGGGAATCCACACTAGGTCGCTGGCTGAACCTTGTGCTACCAGTTGAGCTTATTATACTTTTGGGGATATATTTATTGGGTTATTCCTCAAAACGAATGTATGATTCTTTAGGATTACTTCGGGAAAGAAACCCTTATCATCTTCCCCTCCAATTCTCTCGAACGTTTGACACCCTTCACATATTCAATACCGCCAATCGAATTTTTATCAATCGCATCCAATAAATCGCGAAAGTAAAATTACTTTTCCATATGGAGCTAAAATCTCAGCACTGTCCTGTTTGAACACAATTTCGAACCCTTTGTCTGCGATTTTGCTAACCGGTATCAAGTTCGAACGTAAGTCTGGTTCATGCAGAGCATCGATCAAATGTATGGTTTTAGACTCACCTTGAATTTCAGTCGTAAAAACGGCATTATCTTGAGCTCTAATTTCGGTCGAAGCATGATTCGCAAGATTCAGATGTGCACTTCCTCTATGGAGTTCCGAAAAATCGCTTACCTTTTACCATTCTGCCACAAATAATATGATTCACTGGCAAACGACTTGTGTCGTCAGCACTTTTCGCAGATTCGGGGCAAGTGCTTTTGCCCTTCTTATGACCAAATTCCTTACATCGATGGCAATGGAATTTAAACACCTCCTTATCCTTGACCCTAGGTAGCAAACCTATAAACGCATCGTCAGGTCTTTGTCTCTCATTGCTTTCAATCTAGATCACCCCTAAGTGCTCGTGCTAGCAAAGAGGTTTTAACTTTTTCATATGGGGCCGAAACAGTTATCTACCTATTTGAGTCCGGATCGCACCATAGGTTCATTATACTTTTCCACAGTCTAGTTTTACGTATAACAATAGCCGAATAGCAATATAACAGCATATGGCCACCTCGATGAGCAGTCAAGTACCTTGAGAAAACTCCACCAAACTCCAAACTGATTAATCTACCAATACCATGAGCGCGTAGGCAACCGAAAAATGTTAAATTTCTCAAGATGCATTTACCATCCGGCCAAAGTATAAGATGCTATTCACCGTGTTTCGCTGTGAACTCGACTATGTATATTATTTGCTTATATAGCTATAATCCTCATTATAATGTATTGTTTTAGGGAGACTCTGGTTGTCCTCTGTTATACAAATTAGATAATGGACGTTGGGCGACCATTGGGATTGTGTCCTGGGGAATAGGATGTGGAAATAAAGATCAACCGGGTATTTACACAAGGGTCGATAAGTATATACCATGGATTGTTACACACACGATAGGGGAGCAAATAATTTCACTGCCGTAGTAATATGACACTTTTATTTATATATGTAAGTATATAAGAAAAATGTATAATTTACAACTGTATAGCAATAACAAATAATTATATATCTGATTTTCTTATACAAAATAAAATAGGTTAATTAATTTAGTTAAATAATGTACACAAATTAAAGTTTTTAAGAACCTGTTGTAAAATTAACTATTTATCACATAAATTCGTATCTATTGCATTGCATTGCAGACTTGTACGAAAGTATTACTAGTACACCATACAAATTAAATAAGCAATTTAAATTAAAAAAAGGAAAACGGATGCTATGGGTATATTGTGCATACTCGTCTTGTAATGAACATAGGGACAGACAGTAGGTACGTAAGTAAACATTTCTTTATTTGTGCCAACAGTCAAGTCTACAGGGTTTTGTTATGATAGCCATAACTTATATTAGACAAATAAGCTTCTAAATGTAACTATCACATCCTGCAATTAAGTATTTATGAGAACCCTGTGTATGTTACTATAAACTATACAATATACTTTAACAATAATGGTATAAAGCTCACAATGGTAAACAGGTACAGAAAAAATACCTTTCAGTAAATAGAGTATAAAGGGTGCAAAAGTTTATTTCTAAATTTAAGAAGGGTAGATCTAAATTATATTACGGGGTGGTCCACAATAACTCTGGTCATGCCACGTGCTTGTGGTTGATTGATTTATCAAAACAAAATAAATATAGGTATTATAAGACAGGAAGAAACTTGCACATTGATGGTTTTGGTGGTCCTATTATTCTTACGCTTGTGTATAGTGCTCTGATGGTGTTATCGATAGGAGAGGTACAGCAGCATCTTCTTGTTGATCACATATACCGCTCGCATTTAAACTTTTTCCATTAAGATTTGAATATGACCCTTTTTTCACATTTGAATTCATACTTGCGGTTAATTTTTCACAATTTGGTATTTTAACTACCCTGTCCATATGTTTGCTTTGGATTTTTCGCTCACCTAATAGCCAATACGTTGTCATTTTCCCTTTACCCTGGAATGAAAGGTAAATTACTACCAAAAAACCTCTCATTTCCCTTATACCAAGTTACTCTTTGCTTATACTTATTTATTTAAATGCGGACAATTATTTGTCGAAACGTTACTGGCGTGTCTTTAGTTCTGTGAACGATTCTACAAATTAACACCAGGAACATTACATGTAAAAGATCATATAACAAATATAATAATATAAAGATCGCTTACAATGTTAAGAGTTATTTGAAGAAAAAATGTAAGGCCATGTTCTTGCCTTTTCTTCAATAAAAAAAGATCTGATTCAGATATAAAGAAATTGATAATGCAGCATTAAAAAAGCTGAAGATTTTGGAAGTAAAGAATCGGAAGATTATGCGAAAAGCTCTAATAGAGAGGGCTCTGAACAAATCCGAGTGCAGAGAAACGCCAAAGTTGAAAGAATCTAAATAAAGGGAACAATCCAAAAGCATCCTCACTGAAGCATCTAAAGGAACTAAACATTCTGATGGATTTAATGAATTTGAATCCGAAATTGTGAATTAAAAAATCGCGAATGTGAAAGTAAATAATTGCTAAATCCGAAGAATCTGAAGGGTTTAACAAAAAAAAAACAAAGAATGCAAGAAACGAAAGGATGAATGTTGGAAAAACGGAGCTCACCTTCATTTCGACTTCGCCTCGGCATTCCAAGTTGAAAGTTCCAAATGTATCAAGTACATTCTTCGTTACGGGACTAACATGTATTCGAAGTGGTTGCCCATTAGACTCCATCCTTGACGCCGTATTTACTGTATCACCGAAAAGGCAATACCTTGGCATTTTTAAACCGACAACTCCGGCAACACAAGGACCGGTATGCATTCCTATTCGCAGTTTTAATGGGTCGGCGGGCCTATGGCGAATTTTGAAGTGTTTTACTTCGTCAAGTAACGCCAAAGACATTCGTGCTATTTCTCTTGCGTGTTTGTTTCCATTTCGTTCAGGTAAACCTGAAACTACCATGTACGCATCTCCTATTGTTTCTACCTAAAACATAATTGATGATGTTATTATCACTAGAGGTAACACGATGTGGAATTCCTTTCAAAATAATCTGTTAGAATAAGTCGATGGCACGTGATTGTTAACGCTTATTTGACACAAGTGACGGTGATGCTAAAATAAGACAAGTCGCGGTAGTTTTCCAAAGTAACTAAACAGTAGTCAACAGGACAAGTTATTCCTTTTTATTTTAATGTATTGGAAGGTACCCTATAGCAACACAGTTCCGTATAAAAAGCGCTTATTGTAGACTAAAACCCTACATAATACGCATAAATGTCCGGCGGATGCTGTGTATTCTTGTAGGAATTTATTATTAATTATTTCCCATTGGTATACGGTTTATATGCGTATATTAAAGTGGTGCTATGTACGTTTATAAAACGAATGCCAAAAAACGGTTATTTATATACGTATTATGAACGTAAAAAGTGAACTCTATGGTTTATATTGTTTATATGAATAAAAATCGTATTTGAAACGTATAGGTATAAAATCGGTCTACACAAAAACGTATACCATGCTATCAAATAGCGAATTTACTCTGCCATTGGTTAGTGTGGTTTCTTTTTTGCGCAATCAGTATGTTTTGGATGGTGATTTTTCTTACGGTGTTGTGGGGATGGAGTACTGCAGTTTTTGCTTGTTGATCAGCCGTCTCGTTTCCAGCCATTTCACAATGCGATGGGACCCATAGTAGTGTAGTGGTCCATTTAATGGTGTGCCTTTTGGAGATGGTCGCTTGGATGTCTTAGACTTAGACTATTGGGTGTTCTACGTACGGTATTTTTACGGATTGGATGGACGATAGCCGATAATGAGTCGGTAATGATGTTAATATTATGAGCTTCCTGATTTTTTAATAGTTCAGGGTGCGTTTGATGGAAATGAGCTCCCCAGTGTAGACTGAATCATCTTTAGTTTGGTATAGGATGTGCTCGTTTGGTACTATTACTATCACTGCCACTTCCACTTTTATTTTTGAAGTTTCGGTATTTATGTTTGTGCCTGAGTATTTTGAGAGGACCTCTCTGCATTTGATTTTTATTATTTGGTAATTATATTCATGTTTGGGCAGCTTTAGGGGAGACAGGTTAGCTTGTGGAAGGTAGAATGTCCAGCGTGCGATAATAGATTCTTCATTTGAAAGGATTTCCGTTGGTTTGTAGGTTGGTGACTTTACGCGTATGTGAAATGGCTTTTTGGTTTTGGTTATGTGGACAAGGAATTATCATATTTTGTTGTTAGAAAATATGCAGTGAACGAAATTATATAGAAACACGAAAATTATATTGTTGTTGTATACGCGTCGAACTAATTTTCAACTTTACGATATTTTAGTAGAAATTTTTAGTTTTAAATTCTTTCAGATTCTCCGTTTGTCGTGGGGTATCAATTTTGGAATTTTTTTTGAGTTTTAAAAGTGGCATCCCCAAAAGTGCAGCCGTTAATCGATGAGAAATTAAACGTTTTGTACCCTTAATTTATTTGGAAAAACGTTTCCTTTGGTCCAGTCTACTATTTAGGTTTTTTCCATCCTACAAATGTATGTAATTTGTTTTCAGACTTGCATAGAGAGTGAAGCTGAAGGACATTTTTCAAAAGAACTTGATAATGTGATGAACATGACCGGTGAGTATTCTTTCCATAGTTCCATAGCTCATGGTGTAAGCGTCTAGTAGGTAGATATTTAAGATCTGTTGTTATTTTTAGTCCTGGTACGTAGTTTTTAATCTTTTGTAAGACTATCGCATTTTCTTTGCTTGGGAAAGCAGGATTAGTGGTTCTTAATCATTTTAGGTGTTACAAGGTGAGCAGACTCGGTTGATGTTTATTTCAATATCACAGTATTTCTGTTAGTAGTTATCAGTCAGTGTATAGGTATTTATCAGTGGCATTGAAATAATCGAAAATAATAGGAGCACTGACGATGCGTTTATTAGGTATTAGTAAATCCTCCTCCTCAGATCTCCATTATAGTTTTTTTTCATTTTCCGACGTAAGTACACTTCCCCATTTTCTCTTAAAATTCATACTTTTTTCACGTTTCCTTCACAAGCGCGAATAAATAGATATCATGGCGAAAAAGTATTATTTATTGCCGCGAGCAACGAAATTTGGATATGTGATGTATGAGAACGTTACACCAACACGTCGCTTGATTCCACAATGAAATACGCACCGAGCAAACCCTTCGAGATTATGAACATTTGGAAAATAGGGTGCAATGTGTGCTATGTTGCTAGAAAATTAGATTATCAATGGGAAGTCACTGCCATTGGTGAAAGTGAGTGTATCCCTTGTTAAATGCGTTCTGCAACATGTACTTCAGCGCAAAGGACCCTTATGGGAAAATTATAAATCAATTTCAAGTATCCGCGCTACTTAAAACTCACCAGTAATTGAAAGAGAAAAACCTAACTGTTTCTGCTTCATAAATGCATATAGGCACTATCAATTTAGGAGTTGAGTAAATCGTTTGAAAACCAAAGTAAATCAATTATTTTGCGTATAAAGTGACTGCTTTGTTTGCTAAGTGAGATTGGCTGTCACATTCAAAACCTATGGAATTATTAAGTCAATACGTTCGTATTCGAAACGTAGAAATACAAGGCTTCGAACTTATTCTCTTTTAGTCCTAATGCAAATTTCTTCACGATAGATAAATTAAAGTGATTTAATCAGAGGTGAAACGGGGAAGGACGCTCACTAATTTTTTGGTAATGCAATCTTAAAACAGATTTGAATTCCAATCGAGTGGCTCAATTTGATATTCAATATAAATGGATTTTTATTTGACGAAGGCTGCATCAAGCAAAACGAAATCAGTCACGGTTGATGATACTAATTTAATTCCTCCTCGTAAGCAATCACACGTTTCCTTGATGATATGATAATTTAGAGCCGTAGCTCGAGCGTGGCAAAGTGGCTTACGCCACAGGCACTCTGAATCAAGGGAAGCAAAATTCTACAAGCACAACGGTTTTCTCGCCAGAAACAAAGACGTGTGAAGTGCAAACGAATTTCGTCGAGATACCGGCACACTGAACATTATTTGTACCTAAATACTTTCACGTTCCAAAGATATTGACTGTTATCTAGTGCATTTCCCAAAGGAAACCTTTTGTATATATTTGTGGTTCTGTTGCAGTACCTACTCACTTCTGAAATTATTTAAACATAATCTATCAAAGAAATAAAAATGTTCGGTGTACTACGGAAAGTTACAACCCTCGCAATATAAGGGTGCTTTACATGCTGGTATGAATGACAAAAACCTTCGCAAATTTAAAGTAGACGGAAATTTATTAATAATGCGTTGTTTAAGGGTAGGAAACGTAATCTATCAACAAAAATGTTCGGTGTAGTACATAAAGTAACAACCCCCGCAATATAAGAGAGTGCTTTACATGCAGGTATGAATGACCTAATAAATTTCGCAAACTTGAAGCAGACGGAAATGTATTATTAAAGGGTTGTTTAAGGGTTGGTTGCAGATTATTTAAACATAATCTATCAAAGAACAATTATGTTCGGTTTACTACGTAAAGTTACAACCCTCGCAATATAAGATTGCTTTACATGCTGCTATGAATGACTTAAAAAATTTCGCAAACTTAAAGTAGACGGAAATTTATTATTAAAGGGTTGTTTAAGGGTTGGTTACAGATTATGTAAACATAATCTATTAAATAAATAAAAAATTTCGGTGTACTACGTAAAGTTATAACCCCGCAATATAAGAGTGCTGGTATGAATGACAAAAAACTTCGCAAACTTAAAGCAGACGGAAATTTATTATTAAAGGGTTGTTTAAGGGTTGGTTACAGATTATTTGAACGTAATCTATCAAAGAAACAAAAATGTTCGGTGTACTACATAAAGTAACAACCCTCTCAATATAAGAGTGCTTTATATGCAGATATGTATGACCTAATAAATTTCGCAAACTTGAAGCAGACGGAAATGTATTATTAAAAGGTTGTTTAAGGGTTGGTTACAGATTATTTAAACATAATCTATCAAAGAAACAAAAATGTACGGTGTACTACATAAAGTAACAACCCTCTCAATATAAGAGTGCTTTATATGCAGGTATGAATGACCTAATAAATTTCGCAAACTTGAAGCAGACGGAAATGTATTATTAAAGGGTTGTTTAAGGGTTGGTTACAGATTATTTAAACATAATCTATCAAAGAACAATAATGTTCGGTGTACTACGTAAAGTTACAACCTCCGCAATATAAGATTGCTTTACATGCTGCTATGAATGACTTAAAAAACTTCGCAAACTTAAAGCAGACGGAAATTTATTATTAAAGGGTGGTTTAAGGGTTGGTTACAGATTATTTAAACGTAATCTATCAAAGAAACAAAAATGTTCGGTGTTATACATAAAGTAACAACCCCCGCAATATAAGAGTGCTTTTTTTTCTTTTTTTCTCTTTCCCAGAGTATAATAGTTAAATTCGAGGTTAAATTGCTTGAGTGATTTTTTTTTGGTATAATAGAAAAAAAAACTGTTTCTTAATGGTAATATTAAGTCCGGAATCAAATTTTTTGGAATAATATTTAATTTATGAAATCATCCATGACTGTACCCATCCCAATCCTACACTAAAGAGAGCCTAAACAAGGAAGGGTAGTACAGCGCGCACGCTGGAAAAGTTGGTGTGTACCCGTATAAATAATGATTAATGGGAGAAGTGCAGATCCTTGTGGCCTACGCAAACATACATAATTTAAAACGAGGAGAACATTTATTTTTAGATTTTTTTGTAGGGTTACTTGTGGATTATTTAAACATAATCTCTAAAGAAACAAAAATATTATATGTATGTACTACAAATTCCAACCCCCGCAATCGAGCATTGCTATACATGCAAGTGTGACTTTGAAACGAGAAGAATGCTTATTTTTGGAGGGCAATTGCAGGGATGTTTATAGATTACTTATACATCCAGTTTACATACAAACGCCGCGCCGCAACCCTTGCAATCCGATACATGCCGGTGTACATTTTTTAAAGAAATTACTGAACTAAAGGAAAAATCATTAAGCTACGTGACGTGTTCGATTTCAAACATTTCTTACAGTATCAAAAGTACGACAGAAAATATGTTTAGCTGGAGATCATATACACCTATATGCCGGATATACGTTATCGAAGGTAAAGCCATTATAAACACGGCGACTGGGGGAACTATTCGATAGCTTTGAGTTTTCTAGAAAATAAGGTATCTAACCAATGAAAAAATAAAAGTTACTTTGTGTACAATTAAACTTTTCAGTACAGTTTGTGGTTCTGAGACGAGGAAAGCACCGCACGACATTTCTCTTCCAAAATACTATGAATAAACCCAAATAAAAAGTAATAAATTGTATTTCGCTCCGCATAATGCGTTCAGCTTAGGCATTCAAAACTAAAGGATTTTGAAAATGTTGTATAGCCTGCCCATAAATACAGAATTTAAATTATTAATCAGACACCCTTAGGCGCTTGTTTCAACAATAGGCTGTTATAAAAGGTTTTCCATCGCGCTAATTACAGACCGATCCATTTGAATGCAAAGCATAGTAAGATTTGTCAGGAGCGTTTTCATACTGAAAGTAATTACAATTTCTGCTAATTTAGTTACGGATTTTAATTAACGGTTAGGTAACCGTTTGCAAAAAGTAATTTACTGTTTCCCTTTTGCAATTTGCATTGAAATGCCATTACGTTTACGTTTAAAATAAATATTAACTTCTCTAGATGGCTATATTAAGAGTGTACGGGGGCTTATGATTTTACGCAAGGATTTTACCCCGGAAGGCGCCCTTGTTACTTCTGAGTTAATTAATTCTACACAGCTTCAGACGTTTTCATAATCAAATGTTAATTAATAATTATGAATCATTTCCCTCTTGTATCTCTCAAAATCTATTGATTGTGTATGAAGTTTAATGTTGTACACATATTCCTTTAATTGTATATCATTCGTAGGTAAAATGTCTGTCACAGAAATTATTCTGCAGCCATCATTCTACTCCCGCAAGATTTAGGTACTAAAAGGCATGCAGCTACTTTCTGATGATGAAATTTATCACAATTATTTACAATCATATCTAAATTGAACTCAATTTAACTCCACTTCTTCTATTACAATTTGGAGATTGCACTTATTTCTCTCGATGTACTCAGTAAGTCTCTTATTTGCCATTTGTACAGTATTTATTTTTCCCGCATGCAACCCGTCAGTGAAATGGGTCGGTGGTTTTCCAATGGTTAAGCTGCTGCAATCGTCCATGCGTTTGGGGAGTTTCCAGTTACCAAATAGTTAATTTAGCTGATTCAATCATTTTGAAAGGAATTTTTCTTATTCGTGATGTGGTAATGCACGGAAATTTAGTAATGATTCTTTTGAGTTTTCGTAATAATAAGAGACACTTATATGTATTAGAGATTTCTGTGTAGGACTGTAGGGAATAATTTAAGGATAGTGTGATGCTAATCCCTGATAATTTACTTGGATTATTGTCCACCATTTGTAGAATATAGTATTATCATTATTTATTCATAATAAACAATGGAGCATAGTAACTGTTAAGTTAAAGTACTACAGATAAACGACGAAGATAAAATATATAACACAATAATATTTGTAAAAAAATCACCTTGTCCTAGCTTCACTTGTTTTCTAGAACTTCTGACCCTTTTTCCTTTTCATAAGACTCTGGACCTTTGTTTGATAGGACTTTAACTTGATTTCGCTATTTTTGTCTCACAAACCGTATCTGCATCCTAGATAGAGGCAATATTCTCTTTCGAAAAGCGGTTTGGCTCCTCGATATTCGTGATCCGTCGCTTCCACTGTGGGAAGAGCGAGGATGACATCTTTTATCCTTTGGAACTGGTAAGTTTTTCAATCTGCTATTATCATTTGAGATACTCGCTGTAGAATGTTTATCAGGTGGTAGGAACTGTGACGTTCTTCCCTTATTAAGCGGCAGAGAAAAGCGATGCAAGCTTTATAGGGGAGTCGATGGTGTCCGTCTGTCCGTCCGTCCGTGAAAACGATAACGTTTGGAACGATTTGGTTCACAGTTGACCCATATGCCACATGTAGTAAGCCTATTGAAAATGGGTCAAATCCGATGACCCCTTGGGGCCACGCTTCTCTATCCCTGCCGAACGCTTGAACCTATTCGCTTGAAACTTTGCACAGTAGAGTTATATGCCACATGTAACAAGCCAATTGAAAATGGGTCAAATCCAACGACTCCGTAGGGTCACACCGAAGTACTCTGCCGCTTTTTTAGATGCTTTTTAGGGGTATATTATTTGCTTTATTTGAGATACGAGTGCCTGAGTTGTATTATTGCTGTTACAATCGCATATTGAAGCTTAAGTTAGTAGGCGACTTTTGTTTTTCAAATGTAATGCGTATGTTTTTTTAAATTCTTTGACAAGGGCAATCCATTTTCTATGCGACAACATAAAATATGCATATTGCTGATATACAAAACATGGAAAAATTCGTGATCCAATATTTAGAAAACTTATGAAATTTAATATGATGCGCGGTGTCTGTTGTGTTACACAGAAAAGACCTACATCAACTTGTTCAATGTTCGGTTATGAAGATTTACTTTTGCGCGATACGATCTCCACGTGTAACATAACCGCGCATCCTGACAGCACATGCTAGATTTCATAATGTAACGTAAATTTAATTACGTCGTTTATTTATTTATAACAGTCTTAAAATGGTTTAATTTATAACAGTGATTATTATTTATCACTCACTAAATAACATAACTCAAGCGCGTCGACGTTGCAAACGCCCCCCCCCCCCTTTCTCGAAAGCTCTCGACCGCTTCCAAAGGAATCGGGACTATTCTAGAAGTTTCTAGAACAAATACGTCACATTTCTCGGAAAGATTACGTCACATCCGCCTTCGTTCTTTATCGCCGATGACTAATCTTTCATGGCGCCTCGATGGCTATGGAAATTTCTGGAATAAAGTTTTCTAAATATTGAATCACGAATTTCTTCATTCATAGGCATTGCATTTGAAAAACATAAGTCACATCAATAACCGGTTTAATCGGAAATGACACCAGAAATTTTAATATACCATCGATAGATCGTGATGTAGCGTACAAAATTATATTTGACCATTTTTTCGAACCTCGCCAAATAAAAGAGATACCCTATTATCTCGAACAAACTGTATAATGTATGGATACACACAGCAATCGTCAATTCACCCGGTAGTAACTTGGGAAAAATAAATTCCGCAACTCCTTTTGGAGAAGTGATCCGACTTGTACAAATATTAACATCAACATAGCGTCAGCTGTGTTAATCAATAGATTGGCGACGATCGACTTATGTACATTTAATTTGCTTGCCAATAAAGCTTACCTTGTATACATCGAAGTTTTCTATAATTGAATCAAAGCATGTGTACAGGTCATTGAGCAAATCGACTACTTCAAGAGGAGTACTTTCGGCGGATAGTGAAGTAAATCCTACAATATCGCTGAAATAGATCGTCACTTGGTCGAATGTTTCAGCGATCACCGCTTCGCCACCAATTAATTGAGTCGCTACAGTTTTCGGTAAAAGTTGGTACAAAAGTTCTTCGCACTTGCGTTTCTCTTCTAAATAATCAGCAGTTCTCTCCTCCACAAGCGTTTCTAAGTTATTGGCGTACTGCTCCATACGCGATAGTAAATTATCCAGTATGTTACTGCTGTCATACTCCCTTTAATATTAATTCAATATGTCATCAATCAAATTCGTAAAAATACCGTGGTCAATGCTAACAATGAATTTTTATGGCATGCCAATCTACCATAATTTTAAACAGAGACGTTGATGGTACGGAAGTAGGTACTACTTACTTGTTCAGTTTACGAATGGTGTTCTTAACTACTGAAAAATCGGGCCTATCTGCGGCATCCTCTGCCCAGCATCGTTTCATTAACTGAGCGACGTCTTCATCACATGTACTATCATCTATTAGGGGTCGAAGAGGCGGAACGTGGGAGCTTTCCGGTCCATTTCGTACAGAATCTACAATTTCTGCAAAGAAAATGCGATTAGTAATACACAACAAGCAACATTTTGCTACTTCTAGATTTATTTATATCATATGCAAAATTCAAGGATCGCCATCTTTGAGATGTTTAAACCATTTATATCCTATTCCAAAAGTTACGATGATGTTCCCAGTTTAACACGTGCGTTACTTAAGTTACTCAGTGTGGTTCCGTTTTTGAGCTTTAATTAAAATATCTTTTATATAGTAGTATTGTAAGGCAAACAAAAGGGAGTAAATTTCTGACTCAATAAATGTCTTAACTAAGTTCCAAACATTTCAAGCACAAATTACACTGCAATAGAACAACGCCATTCTGCAAACTAAACGATTTACTTACCTAAGCTTAGCCAGAGTTTAATTAGATACGATTAAATCATATGTACCAGCAAGAAAAATTAGACGAACACCTTTAAAGCTTAAAGCGCATCATCAATTTTGTCTTGGACTTCTCATACTGCAACCTCAGCCAGAAATTGAATTGTGTATATTTAATCTACTATGGTACCGATGTAATTAAATAAAATCGGTTACATGTCATTGGTGTGTACTTGCCTGAAATTATAGTGTAACGCATTTCAGAATTTTCAGCAATTAGAGGATTGCGCTTGTTAAACTAATTTTTCTCTTTGCGGTCAGAACTGTCGGACAAAGTACGGAAGCTTTTGATGAAACATAACATCATAATCGCCTCTTCGAAGGTGAAGAGGTCATGGTTTTAGATCTGTTAAGGGTAAAATCGCTGCTATGAAGACAATGCAGGCATAATTGATTCAAGGAAGTGATGATATTAATCTATTTAATATATTTACTATTTATATACCTATCTTTATTTGTAACATAATAACGGTTATGTTGTTATTCTAAAAAATATTAACCTTCAGTTGACTCAGTTTCTACATTAAGTCTGAAACTGCCAATAAGATTCTGCCGAGTACTTTTATTTAGAAATCAATAACAATGTTAATGAGCTTATTCCTAGTGAAAATGATCCGGTTGCAATAATGATAATATAAATCTCGGGTTGTGTCTTATTCTCCATCCAATACTTTCCGTAATAAACCGATACAACGAAATATCGAAGGATCCTCAGTATTACAATCACTTTTAACGACAATTTATTTTAATCTTACAAAATACGTTTTATAGTTAACAAAAATGCATCAAATTCATGTCTTGGTCATTGAGATAATGCTTTTAATCTTGTTCCCTACGATATCAGTGCAAGAAAAACGATTTTGACATGTTTTGATCAAAATCCATGTGGTTGCCAAAAATAGATCAAAATTCATGTTTTGGTCAATGAGATAATGCTCTTGGTCTTTTTCCCAACGATCTTGGTGCATAAATAACGATTTTGGCGTATTTTGATCAAAATCCACGTGGACTCCGAAAGATCATTTAACATCTTTGAATCTCACATATGCGGTTATCAAATGTGCACGACGTGATGCACTCTTTCAGCATCAAGATAATGCGTTAGAAAGCTTTTAAAATTCCCAATTCATGTGTAAAAAATAATAATTTTGGGTACATTTTGCCCTAAGACTTTCGACCTGTACCACAGAGATGAGTTATATTGAATTATTACACATCTAAAAGCCATAGGGAATAATCTAGCGAAAGTCCGAACTCGATACATGACCTAGGGAATGAAATATGTTAATTTCTATTATATTGACCCCGCAGTTTTTCCTGTTCCCGATTCACTGGAAGCCCTATAACTTTTGTTCCTGTTGAACCAGCGTACTGAAAATCAATAGCGTCCGTCCTTAAAATCCAAAGTACCCATACACCAAATTTCAACACAGTCGGCCACTTTTAAAAAGAGTTAGAGCGCACACGGACGGACGGACGGACGGACGGACGACAATACAAAACTATAAAGGATCTGAGGATCCTTAATAATGCGAAGTTAATATTCAGAATTGGAGATGCATGGAGTATAGCGTTGCGAGACCATAAAATACTCAATATTTCATTTATAAATATAAAATATAAATGTGTGTGTACGCAACATTGTAAATATGAACATGTATTGCTATATTATCATTAGTTAATTCAATAAGCGAGATGTGCTTTGAATACAAATATCCAGATGTAGACCAAGTAGCTTAAAATTCGTCACCTGCTTTATGGATTAGTGAACAATACGAATATTTTGACTAGATACGAGTTTTTTGGCAAAGAATTGAATTATTATGTAGGTTTTTGATATTGACCTGAAGTGAAAACCTAGTACTGTAATGATAGAGCTGAGATCATTTACATACAACAAAAATAGTAAAAGCCTTCTCTCGGTTGTTGTTTTGAAACTGGATATTATTACTACAGAACAGGTCCATAAATCCATTTCCAGCAATGTGACGTCATCACTGGTATGCGTATAAGCAAAACGGGCCCCCTTAAAAAATTGTAGCAACAGTTATTCATTTTTAGCTTCCTAGCATGTGCTAGGTAGCTATTGCGATAGCAGTTTTTTGAACATTTCAAAATTTCATCAAATGTCGACGTTTTAGACCATTTTAAGCAACTTTTAAAGAATACAATTTTTTTCCGTCTGTATGTACGTTGGCGCATGTTGGCAATTTTCTGAGAAAACGGCTCCAAGGGTTTTGTTGAAATTTTGTATATATGTTTTAGGCATACCGAACAGAAAAATAACGGGCCGGATTTTTGAAAAGAAATTTTGGAGCGCCGTAACGGCATCGAACTTTTTTTTTCAAATAGCAACCTAAAATTTTTATTCTATTATTTGGAAGACCTTATTTTCCTGTGTACAATCTACAAAAAATTGGGCCGGGTTATATTATCAAAAAACGTTTTAGATCATTTTAAGCAACTTTTAAAGAATAAATTTTTCCGTCTGTAAGTGCGTACATATGTTGGCAATTTTTGGTTTCAGTTAGGAAGCTATTCTGTCAAGAATTTGACACCTGATTTTCCGTCTGTATGTACGTACGTTTGTTGGCAATTTTCTGAGAAAACGGTTCGACGGATTTTGTTGAAATTTTGTATATATATACATACCGAACAGAAAAATAACGGGCCGGATTTTTGAAAAGAAATTTTGGAGCGCCGTAACTGCATCGAACTTTTTTTTTTCAAATAGCAACCTAAAATTTTTATTCTATTATTTGGAAGACCTTATTTTCCTGTGTACAACCTACAAAAAATTGGGCCGGGTTATATTAACAAAAAACGGAGAAAAAAATTGTCAAAGTCAAAAAATTGTGTTGCATATGTGCAAAACGCAACGATCTTGTTTCTGAAGAAATTTAAACGAAATTTCTATGGTAAGTCCCTTTAATAAAAGCAAACAAAATTCATGCGCAAAAATCGTGTTGCATCGCGAATTTGTTTGAAATAATCTATGCTATAAAAATGGTCGCTTAATGTCAAATTTAAGTTGCCCATTAGTGTGTATTTTTTATTAGTGTCGAATTGCGATTTTTCACAACGAATAAATTGGAATGGTATGTTCGATAACAGTTCAAGAAATGTTTGACGTATCCCGAAATCGTGTAATATTGGTTGCATACAATTCCACGAATTGACGGTTTTCTCTTCATAGCATGAGCTAGGTACAATGCGAAATTTCATCAAATGTTGACGTTTTAGATCATTTTAAGCAACTTTTAAAGAATAAATTTTTCCCGTCTGTAAGTGCGTACATATACTAATAATAATAATATATATTTATTCCAATAATAACATGGAATCCCATGGTACAAATTCAGCAAAAGCTGCTCTTCCATATGCACCATGCACATAAATAAGTGGAGTGACGTATAAAATAAAAGTAACACTTTTTCAACTAAAAATAAAACCTGTAGGTACATACACCATAGTGACATTAAAAACAAATATTAAATAAGTAGACGTAAAATCACATGAGAAAAATAAAAATAAAAGGTATAAGGAAACAAAATCTTAACTTTGTGATGTAAATAGAATATTAAACATTTCAAACTTAAATTTTTTACTGGTCAAACCCTTGAGAGACGAAGGTACAGTGTTGTATACCGAAGCCATATTGTAACTAAATGAACGGCGGAATATGTTGACAATTTTTGGTTTCAGCTAGGAAGCTATTCTGACAAGAATTTGACACCTGGTTTTCTTAAAGGCGTGCATTATCATAAGGAAATGATCTTACACTTGCTACAAAAAGCTAGTGTCGACACAAGGTACTAAAACATCGTTTAGGATAGCCCATTTCGCCTTTATATTGGATTAAATTAGCATATCAATATCGATCAATAAACAAAAAAGTTATCACTTTCCTTTGAGACGAGAATTTTCATAGGGAAATGGTTTTCCACTTGCTATGGAAAAACTGGTCTGGACACTGCTACATTGGATTAAATTTGCATCGATATCGATCAAGAAATAAGATCTTAACATGCTCATTCAAATAGGCAAATTGGATAACTTGCTCATTTGTTGATCGAGATTGATGCAAATTTAATCCAATATAGCAGCCGAAATAGGATATCGGAAATAGTCCATGTTATTATTTTTAGTCGAGAATATAATTAGTATGCAGATCAATTAGATTTGAAAGTTAATAGATGTCAAAATAAAAAACGAAGGAATGTAAAATTTCTCTCAATATACGTAACTCTTATTGCATAAGTAATAAACAACATTGTCCGTTGCTAACTTTTTAGGGGGCTTGGTTTGGTGGTCCGCATACCTGTGATAACGCCAAGTTGCTGGGAATGTTTGTTGCTAACTTTATGGACTTCCACAGGAAGGTACCTCACACCACCTACATCAACAGCTTTCATTTTCTTTGGAAACTCGAATTGTTTTGCACTTCTAAGAATTATGCGGTTTAATATTAAAAAAATTTGATACGATTTTTTCAAATATTTGTATCAAATAAATTACTAATTTTCAAATTCAAATGAAATATTGCGGTTAGAGGTTTCATGTCTCCAACGATTTTTCGTTTCGCGAGAAACCTGCTATTAAATTT